TTTCAAAAATTTTGGCATTCCAGTTTAAAGGTGGATTTCAGAGGAGACTTCAGACCCCCACCGCTGTCGCTTCTTTGCCATGGGATAATCATCTATCAGACAACTGTACTGTAAATACCAGGTTTTCAATCGGTTGTTGTTCTTAAGAATGTGGGATTAAGACCCCAAAATGCTACTGTGTACTCATTCCATTTTAAAGTTTTGATGGTAGAATTAATTTTCATCTCAAATTATTTCTAAGTTAGCAATGTGAGCTCATCTCTCAGTGTCCCTGAATTTTGTCACCTACCAACTGTGGCTTTTACACACTTATGGTCTTACAAATTTATTTTAAATAATAAAAAACTCATCATATGTATTTAACATATAAAATGAGTAGATGCTTACTGTTACAAGCTCAGGTGCCTGTTCAGATTGTTACTGAGTATGCATAGCCTGTTCCTTCAGAGGAGATAAATCCTCATTCCCAGGAGAATTCAGGCCACACCAGTTATATTAATGGCAGACATTCCAACCTTAGTGGTTGTTGATCAAAAAAATAAAAAAAAATTAAGACTTGCATTTCTTTCCAATGTGAGGCTAGAGCAGCTGCCAGCACTCTGCAATGGAGGTGGGGAACCTGCATTCTCCAGCTGGGACATGAGTCAAGGATGAACTCTTTAGAGTATGAATGGATGCTAAAAAGCTCACTGTGTAGCAGACTGTGAGCCTGGCTAGCTCTGTAATAGCTACTAGTAAATATAACGGATGATGCTCAAGATACCACGCAAATTCTTTACACCTGGAGGTGGCCATCACTTGCTTTAAAGGTCAAACTGAAGTACGGAGAGATGAAGTAACTCAGCCTGGGCCAAACACCCCAGGGCATGTGGGGTCCAATCCCGGGAGGAAAACAAAACATATAAGTGAAAGAACAGAGGCAGGAGAAAATCTAAAGAGTTCCTAAAATAAAAAAAGAAGCCCAAATAAAAAAAATACAAGAGTTTATAGAATAGACAAGGTTGGTGCACTTGATGCTCACAAGATAAGGCCAGCTCAGCACGTACTTCCATGGGCGAGGGTTCCTGAGGGAGCCTAAGAGTCTGAAGGAAAGGTGCCCAGGAACCAGGTTCTGGGAGGAGCCCTCTCCTCCTTGGCTCTCTAGATGATACATCTTTGCCTGGACCTTCTGGTTCCTACTGGAGTAGCCTACGAGAGCATCTTGTGTCGTGATGCCTACCAATGGTTTTCATCCATCCACGCACAGGCGTTCATTGGCCAGATTCTCTGGGAAACACCTGAGGACCTCCAACACAGCCCACTTTTGTGGACTGGCACCATGTTGAAGCACAGTGGTGGCTGCCTGGTGTTGCTGCGATACCAGAATGTACGATCAGGAAGGCTGGATACATTCTTTCCAATCTTTCAAACATGTCTTCATAGAAATCTAGATTTAGACATGTTTGGGAGTGTGAGCTTACTCTCTCCACTTTCCCTCCAAAGGCGAACACTCGTTGGCAGAGCTGAAAGCTTTAGGTTGTGAGAAGATAAAGGCCTTTCTTGCGTGATGTTAATTTTAGCCGTGGCGAGAAGTCACCCCAGAGGTGTCACTCTCAGCCCTTCTCGGCTAGTCATCTTACGGATTCCGAGATTAAAGAGCTAGGTCTCAATTTACAAGTATGGGTTGACTTCTTTACCTGGCTCTTCTCCAAGAGTTGATCTCATTTCATCCAAAACCATTAAGCATCAAGAGCAACAAACATGGGTTCGTGCTCACAGAGTTAAACGTCACAGGTCTGTTGAGGGCAGGTGGTCTCGGATAATTTTCTGAGCGAAACCCAACTTCATTTTCCAAATGAAACAAAACAGCTTAATCTGCTTCTCCTCAGGAGCCTTCAGCTTTCTCTTTAAATCTACTCAAGCGTCACTCATGTACTCATTGCCCTCTCCCGCCATGCTGGAGAGGAAGTACTTAGGGGGTTCTCCACCATGTCTTTGTGGACCCTCAGCTGTCAAACAGCATTTTGCTTAAATTGCAAACTACAAAAAATGAGGCAGAAACCCAGGGTTTAAAAATTACAGCTTGCTTCAGCAGCTGCTGGTCAAATAAAATACTTCCAGTAAATCCTTCCGCAAGAGCTCCAGTAAATCTGTAGCAGTCGGGCTGCCTAGAGTTGCGGGAAGTCCCTAGGGATCAAAAGGTAGGCCAACAAGCGGGGAAACAGTTACTCAAAATGTCCCCCTTTTGAATGCGAAAATCAGATATAGCCCTTCCTTCTGGAACTAATCTAAAAACGTACAAGAGGGAAGGAAGCATTTGTGACTCCCAGAACCCCTCAGCGCTACCCACCGCTGCAGTTAAGGTGGGTCTGTATCCGTGTACAAAACTGTTTTGTGTTAGTTACCTCCCTGTCTTTAATCTTTTTAGAAGGATCCTAACATGTTTATTTGTCTGTCTGGCTTTGGAGTTTTAAATGATTCCATCTCTTTTTGTTTTAAAAACACCTGGTAGTTTTAACCAGAGAAATAACGACGTTCCCTTAATGTAACTTAAACAGCTTGGGTGATACCACTGGATCTCTTAGGGATGAAAGAATACCGTAGAGCAGACAGGACACATCCATGCTGAACTCCCGCCTCCTGTCCACTAGTCCAGTGCCTGTCTGCTCGCGGAGTTCAGCACGTGTGTGCCTGGTTGTCCAAATGCTCTGCGGTAGAATCCAGGCTCCTCCTCACGTTAGGAGCACGATCGACCCTTTCCTTCAAGGTCGTCACCTACTTGCTTGATGTCTGCCATTTTTTATGCTATGATGCATTTCACTCAGGATATGGGGAGATGAGGAAGGTTATGCATGACCTTAGTAGGTTAAGCACATTTTTCTTATCAGCATCAGAGGCAGAAGGCATCCACCCCGGGGCAGCAGTCAACTTGTTCTGCCCTCTGTGATCAGGGCTCATAGGTTGCAGGAGGAAAACCCTGTTTAAGACCAAACTTACAGAGGGAAATAATGCATGAAGGACCAGAATAAATACATGCAAGGAAAAAAACCAGTACTGAAAAACCAAATATGTTCCCTTCATTTGAGACTGTTACTGGCACATTAAAGGGCTATATGCTTGAAGGTTTACTTTCTAGTAATAGCAATGGGTCGGTAGAGAAATGACACCACACTACTGTCCAATATCATACACTTGAGTGACAGCGGCATGGATGTACAGAGTCCACTATGGGTGTCCTAGAGACTCAACAAGCACTTCCTGTTTCCTCAAGAATCTAGCGTCAGATGTTTGGGAGCCTAAAGTGCATATATTTAGTAATTACCTCAGATTTTTAAACATGATTAAACTTTTGAAAATGATCTGCCTGGTTTTTAAATAAAATCCACCCCCGTGGGAAGGTGCTGTCTGCAGCTGAGGTTGTCTGGGAGACAGGTGATTCCAAAGAGAAGGGTGTGAAGAAAGGGCAGCCATTGGCATAAGGCACAGAAACCTGAGGACCTAGCCTGAGGAGGGCCAGGCCACTGACGTCAGAGTTTCTAGCATGCTTTCTTCTAAGATGAGCCAGGACAGAGTATGTACATGAATAAATAAGAGACATAGTTCTTGAATTTTTTTTTCCTTTTTGGCATGCACTAAGCAAGCATTCTCTACCCCCGGTTACGTTTCCAGCCCACGAGGTTTACAAACCTATGTATTTGCTTTACTACAAAAATGGCAGGTCTCATGAAGCCAGAATGCCAAAGAGCCAGGTGGTTTAACGTTAACTGAAATGAGCAGAGTTATATTTATTTTAAGTAGTAGCAGCTTCAACTCCTTCCTAAGCCTAAAAGTGACTTGGTTTTATCTAATTTTCTTAACAACTCATTAAATAAGCAACCAATAGTGGTTTTTGATATTTTCATGCATATACATTATTGTTCTTTGCTCATTTCGCCCCTCATCACCTTTCTCCCCCCCAGGGGTCCTCCTTCCAGTCCCTAAATGGAGTCCCCTTCGGCTCTCATGGCACTGCATGTATACACACTTAGGTTTACATCTAGGTTCTCACACCGTTCATGTGCAGTACTGAACTTTCTCTTTCTCATCCCTGCTTCCCCCTTCAGACTCCCTCCTCACCCTTGCGTTCCCCTTTTAACCTGCCTATCATATGTGTGTGTTCATCTAGATTTATACCTATGGAATGGCACCCGTTAGAGAAACATGTGGCATTTGTCTTTCTGAGGCTGGCTTATTTTGCTTAATATGTTAAGACTCTCCCGTTCCATCCATTTTCCTGAAAATGACATCACTTCCTTCTTAACAGGCTACAGTTACTGCGCATACAACACCTGCGTTTTACCCATTCATCTGCTGGGGGGCACCTAGAGGCTGTTCCACATCTGGGCTACCACCAATAGCGTATCTGTAAACGTGGACGTGCATGTCTCTGTGGTATGCGGACTTAACTCTCCTCTAGAAATATACTCAGAAATGGTACAGCTGGATCACACAGCAGTTCTACAGAATGTGTGTCATGATCAACGTCATTCTGACTTGAAGTCCTTTTCCTTCATCCTTGGGATGCTCAGCAGCAAGGTTGCGAAGAAGGGTGGGGAAGACAAAGGTGAAAAGCCCCCAGAGAGGCCCACTTGGTAGTAAAGTCACTCACACTGGCTGTAATGATAGAAAGTAGCAAGGAACTTGTAAACCTAGTGAGAATATCTGTCAAAGGAAACTCAGGAAAGAAAGCCATTGAAAATAATCTACATGACCAATTCCTCAATTCTCTTTCCTACCTAAGAGTGGTTAATTCTTTTCAGGAGGCCACAGTGACTTGTTTGCATGAGTGTGTACATGTTCACATGTGTGTGTGCATGTGTGTGTATGCATTTGTAATAGGCAGAACAGACTCATATGAGCATTCCACTGGAGTCTTGGTGGATCTTTGAAACAAAAGAGAGATTTGTAAGCTGCCAACACAGTAGAGGGACACACATTTTTACAACAGAAACCAGCACCCGGAATTTTATAGAATTGATTACCGATATTGATTGCAGTTTCTTGCTTGTCTCCTGTTAACACCCATATTTTAATTTCTGCCTTCAACAGAGTAGCTATGGTTTCAGGAACCCCGGCTTGAAGACGGTCTTCGATGGCTGTGGCTCCAAGTAATAGTAAATTCTAGATCAGAAAATAGCATCAATTAGAGGACAGTTCATCTTTAGGAGCAGAGATGCTGACATCCCTGATAGGATCGTTGCCCATGAATGACATTCAACGGTGAAGCAGTAACAAACCATTGATTGTGTTGAGCTATTCAAAACCCTCCCGGCAATCATTCAGGGGTACCTGGGTGTCCTGTTTAGTTTTTACCAACTTGACACAGGCTAGAATCACCTGGGAAGTAAAGTCTCAGTTAAGAAAATGCCTCCATCAGATTGACCGGTAGGCAGGTCTCTGGTGCACTTTTTGCATCGATTGATGATTGAAGTAGGAAAGCCCAACTCACGGTAGGCAGTGCCAGTCCTGGGCAGGTGTCCCTGAGTTTTATAAGAGAGCAGACTGTGCAAGGCAGGGGAGCAAGCATGGAAGCAGCACCCTTCCATGGCCTCTGCTTCAGTTCCTCCCTTGAGTTCCCACCCCGATTTCCCTCCAGTGTGGGGAAGAAGAGAAACCCTGAATGTGTACTCTTTGACATGGGCATGGTCACATCAAGGACCAATGCTTTAGGACACGGGCATGACAAAGCCTTCCCTGGGTGAGGCTTAGACGGATGACAACAATTCCCTCTGGGCCCAGTGCAAGCGTTGACAGTGTGTGCAGAAATGTCTGTCACAGCTTTCTCCTCCCCTGGATGTTTACGGCATGAAGACTGCTCCCCTACAGAAATGTTCCTATGGAGATTAGCTGAACCCGTCTCCTTGTTCAGATGTATAAAATAAACCTGTCTCCTTATCTGTATGTGATAACCCCGCCTCCCTGTTCAGCTATATGCAATAACCCCATCCCCTTGTTCAACTCTTTGTAATAAGCACATTGCACTTCTCCAACCAAGAGTTCAGACCGCCCAATCCCAGCTTTTCTGTGTCCATGTGTCTGTGTGATTGCCATTTTTTTCACCCCCTTGCTGTCCAAGTCAGGATTTGGGAACCCAAGCAGGCTTGGACACAGCACTTCATGATAGATTCTAGCTGCAAGTTGACATAAACCCTTTTCTCTCCAAGTTGCCTTTGGTCATAGCATTTATCACAGTGCCAGAAAGCAAACTGAGACATTGGGCATCATCTGGTCACAGAGTGGGGGCGGAGGCTGGCCTGATATTATACACATGAATGAGGACATTATCAAGATAAATTTACCTATCAAAGAATTGATTCCCATTGTGACAGTTATCTGGCAGGGTAGGAATTAAAAGCCTGTGATTGGAGAATTCAATACTGGGATGCTAGACGTATAGCACAAGGGCACAGCAAGCAGCCCCAACTTCCATCCCCAGAACCATGCAATGGTTAGTGGAATAAACTCAAGGTCAAGGAAACTCCAAACTGCTGTCCCATCATCCTCATGCAGAGGGCAAGTGTCAATGTGCCAAACTCCCTAGATGCCTACACTATTCCTGGCAGTCTGGCATATACCTGAGAGACTGTGTAGAGGGCTTTCGTACTTATTCATCCCCCTTACTCATTCATACAGTACCTCAGTTTGGTTATCCAAGCAAAGAAAAACCCAACTGCTATGTGATTGCCCATTACATGGGCATGGCACCCATTTGATCATTTTTCTGACCATAAGCATAATATTCAATATTTCCAGTGTTGTTCATTGTACTTTTCTCTGTACTTGGATAATAAAATGTGGTCCTAAATGGACTCTACACATAGGAAATGAAGAGGAACATCACTTGAAAAGCAAGGAAACTGTAACCTAACCTAAGAGTATCCCAATAATCAAAGAAACAAGTCCTAGACAATCAGAGGAACTGGTCCTCTAGCCAACCAGGGACAGAAACACACCCATAAAAGGTAAATATGACAGAAGCATACAGTTCTTTGTATATGTCACGTCGCCATCTGACAATATGTAATCCACAAGTGAATTGTGATGGGACATTCTAGGCATCTTTTTCTACCAGTAATGCTCAGGATCTTGTCTCCTTTAAGTAAACTGATACGCGTAACTGATTTCCATCAATAAAGCAGAGTGGTAGATGCTTAGATTTGGTTCTATTTCCTACCCCAATTCCATCAAATAACTTGATATAAGCAGCTGAATATCAAACTCAAACAGAAACTGGATATGGAAAAGTAAGGTGAAATTATAAAGCTAGAAAAAGAATGAGAAAGGACAGCAGGCGATAGCCTCAAAGGTACAGAATCTAGAAGATGGATAGTCCAGAGGTTGCTGACATGACTCAAAAAGGTTGAAATCTAACTTCCAGATTTCAGGGTATTGAAATAAGAAATATAAAATTACCTAACATACTAGAACACACAGAAAAGAAAACACCAGGACAGAAAGCAAAGCAGGCAGCCAAGGGACAGTAAAGACAAAGCATGGGCATCATTTGAGTGAGTGTGGAAATTCTCCACGGATACAGGGTCTACCCAGCATGCACAGTGCTCCCCATGCATGGGGCTCAGCAGGTGAGCCAATCTTAGGGCCAAACTCAGGCAAAGCCAGAGCCATCAAAGCTGGTTTGTGTGTGTGTTTTTGTTCGTGTACTTATATACTGATGCAAATGAGTTTGTGTGTGTGTGTGCTTGTATGTGTATATGTATATGCACATGCTTTGCATGTGTGCTTGTTCACATGTTTATATACTGACGTGTGTGTGTGTGTGTGTGTGTGTGTGTGAGAGAGAGAGAGAGAGAGAGAGAGAGAGAGAGAGAGAGAGAGAGAGCTGTGTGTACCCACAGAGACCAGAGGACAGCCTTAAGCGTTGTTCATCAGGTATCATTCTCCCACTAACTACCCTTTGTTTTGAGGCTGGGTCTCTCAATGGCTTGGAACTTGTCACGTAAGTTAATCCGGCTGATCATCAAGTCCCAGAGACTCTTTTGTCTCCACCTCCCCAGTACTGGGGTCCCCAGTGGTACCATCATTCTCTGCTCTTTTGTTTGGTTTTTTAAATAAAGGTTCTGAGGATCGAACTCAAGTCCTTGCGCTTGCAGGACAAGCCCTTTATAGACGAGCCAACGTTTCAGCCCATCAGTACTAGTTTTGATCAGATATTTAAGGTTCCATCAATACCTGATTGAGGGTGACTAGATGTTTCAGACAACCTAACCTGAGAACATCCCAAAGCAAAGGGATGCCGAAAACCTGAGATCCATGGGGACAGTTAGAGAAAGCAACAACATCCCAAGACAACAAACGGAGTCTTATGCAAAGACTGCTCGGAAGTGTGCCACCCTTCACTGGGCAGACACTTTGACTCATGTAATTACCTTCTCGATGATCTCATAACACTCTTCTAGCCTCTGTGCTCTGTCCTTCAGTATGATGCTGGCCTCTTGATAGACTTTCAGCCACTCCTCATACTCATTCTCAGAAAGATCCGCGTAGGCCACACACAGAGTCCGCAGGCCTGCAAGACAGCCGCAGGTAAGTTGTGGCAAGAAGGACATATCACATGACTCTCTTTGTGTCAGGGTGGCCCAAAATTTAAGGTCACCTGCTTCTCAGGCCTCTCTAATGTAACGTTCGCATGTCTACAAAGGAATTTTAAAATCAACTATCGTGGTGGTTAATATTGATTGCTAACTTGCTACAATGTAGAGTTGTTTAGGAAACACATCTCTGAGCGTGTCTGTGGAGACTTTCTAGATGCAGGGAGGAATGCCCCCACTCCATGGGCTATACCCTGTGTCCCACACTGAATACAGCACAGAGACAGCGGTGAGCATCAGCTTCATCTCCCTCTGCTTCCTGAGATGCAACGCGAAAGGCTGCCTCAACTCCAGTCGCCATCCCTTCCCCTCCATGATGAACTGCACCCTCGAACTCTGAGCCAAAATAAACCCCTTCTTTCTTAAGTGGCTTTTGCCAAGTATCTTGTTGTAGCATTAAGAAAAGTAATTCATATCCCCCCTGCGTTTTCATATAAACTAACATAAGCTGTCCTTCCTATAAATTTAGGCATGTATGAGATCCCGTGAGTGAATTTCCCACTGCAGACAGGTATAGAATCTGTGTAGCTGACATGCGTGTGTCACTGGCAGCTGGAAGCAGAGGAGTCAGGAAGTACATTTTAAGGCACCCATAAGAAGCCTGTCGTGCTAGGATACGGAGAAGCTGGGTCCTCAGGCAGTCATGTCCTCACGTGTGTGCATGTGTCTAGACATGGAAGCTCACTACACTCAGAGAGGAACACTCATTGCTTAAGCCTCTATCATCACATTCTCCAGCAGGAAAACCTGACATCACCATTATCCCAAGGTTTCCAGAGAGTTCCTTTCCTGCTTACAGTGAGCAATGAGAGTCATTATCTGCTTACGCCCTGGACAAGCCAGTGATAGCACCATGTCAGGGAAAGGACCCCTAGAGTATCCAACCGAGCAAAGGGACAGTTGTGATTCTGTATGCTGTGGGTTAGCTGCCTCCTGTTTCCGTGCCACCTGGGAAGAGCAGAGTCAAACACAGCTCATTCATTTTGGACTCTGCCACCTGCTTCCTCACTGTCACAGGAGATGGGAGGGGACAAAGGAGGCAGCTGAAAACTCAATCCTGAGAAGCAAGTTGGTAGTACATGAGAAGCATACATCTGTCCAAAGCCACGCACGCCTGCCCATGGAGCAGCCACGGGCACGTGAAAGCTCAGCTTCAGCGTCAAAATTTTTTACTTACCTTCTGTGGCAAAATATTCCAGATGGCACAATGTCTCCTCCATGTACTTGGAGTCTTTTGAAAGCCTTTCAAAGATTACATTATCCTGCGGAAGAGGGAAACACTCACTGAGATGGGCAGAACCCAGAGGACATCTGCCAGCGGGCACGCACAACACGGCTTTCTTCCTAAGTGTTTACCTAATGTACCTGAAAATACTTGACGGGTCAAAGAGTGGAGCTCTCAGTTGGGCCAAACGTGAGCTTTGCAAAATGCGCCCAACAATGTCAAAAGTTGTGTGCATGTAAAAAGTCAAAAAGAAACAATGGGGAGATTCTGCGAGCAGAGACCCGATCAAGGCTACCTCAGCGCCCACATTTGCACACATGTGCAAAACTCAGACCGCGAATGGAAGTGTTTCGGATTTGGGGTATTTGCAGATCTTGGAGTACACGTGTACACATATGATGTGATATCTCAGGGATGGGAGCTCATCTAAACATTTATGTTTCGTGTCCACCCTATTCACACAGCCTGAAGATAATGTTATGCCCTTTCCCCAGCTACATTTAGACTGGAACTCATACCATGAAGTCGGATGTGGAATTTTCTATACCATGTCAGTGTTTACAAAGTTTTGGATTGGAGCTTTTTAAAATTTATTACGTTTTTGTAGTGTGTGTGTGTGTGTGTGTGTCTGTGCCTGTGTGTGTCTGTGCTTGTGTGTCTGTATGTGATGTGATGGACCACACGGAGAGAATGGCGGAATGGGAGGTAGGGAGGTAGGGAGGTCAGAGGACAGCCTGCAGGAGTCATTTCTCTCCTTCCAGCACACGGGGCTAAGGATCAACTCCTGTAGTTGGGCTTGGCAGCACGCACCCCCACCTGCTGAGGCATCCCATCAGTGCAGATGTGGGAGGCTGTTTTCTGTTTGTCTTTTGCTTTTTTGAGGCAGGTTCTCACTGGAGCCCGCAGAGGTCCGCTTGCCTCTGCCTCTCAAGGGCTGGGATAAAAGGTGTGAGCCACCATGCCCAGATAATTTGAGATGTTTTTATTAGGGTGTTCACACCCCGTAACATCTTTATGCAAAAGTGAAAATAATAAAGTAATACCCTAATTTATTCTAATACAACCTTACTTGCCAATAATGGAAGTTCTCATAATCAAAGTGACCACGGGCTTGGAGCTTTTGACTAATGTTTGATGAGAAATACCTAGTTTGGCACAGCCTGCACCTCATGACTGACAGGCAGGAATGGGTGCCTGTATGTTCCTGATAACCCACTATATAAATTAGCATCTCAAGACACTAATACTGTTTTTAAACTAAACTATCTTTTCAGAGGGGAGGGGAAGGTTTGGACAAAACTGACCCCACAAGAGTCTGACGGGCACGGGCAGCAATTTCACATCAACGCTGCCTGCTTTCACCACGGTTCCCTTCCAGCTGCTGTGGCTACAAGCAGCACACAAAGCCAGTCCCAAAACAAGGTCATGTGATGCTGTGACCTCAGTGGCATTAACTAAAGCTGCCACTACCATAAAGGTAGAATTCCTTTACCAAGGTGGTGGTGGCACGCGCCTTTAATCCCAGCACTTGGGAGGCAGAGGCAGGCGGATCTCTGTGAGTTGGAAGCCAGGCTGGGCTACAAAGCAAGTTCTAGGACAGCCAGAGCTGTTACACACATTGTGTTCCTAACCATGACAGATGAAGATGAGTAACCTTGGCTGCTCATCACTGACCCAGGTATATCACAGCATTGTCTCAAATTAAGTTTGATAATTTGTCCTTTCACCCCACAGAGCCACCATATAACAGGGTACAATTTTACAAATATAATTCATAAGCAGTAATAGCTTTCCTTAGCAATAACGTCTTTGGCATTGGGTTATCATTCGTTAGGGATACTGGAGAAAAAGCCAGATGTAGGAAAGAAGTACAAAAGGAACTGTAAAAATAGATCCACACGCGAACACACTCTTGTCCCCACGGCGCCACTCTCTCTCTGCCACCAGGGAGAAAATGATCCAGCAGATGGGAAGACAGCTGCTGGGGAACCAACAATATCGGAGGACGGAAAGTTTACCACAGGCCAGCACAATGCCGTCACCTTTACAGACGCCAAGAGAGGATTCTGGGTGGCGCACCGTGTGTCCAAAGCTCACTATGGGATAAAAGCAGGCTTTTCACTGCCCACTCTTATCTAATGGCGCCTCGAACCCACGCTCTTGGTGTCCTATTGGAACTGTGTTTCAGCTTTGGGCAGACTGTGGAGGGTATGGGCACAGCAGTTTGGGAAGCGATACTTTGGCAAAGCAGCCTCCAAGGAGTTGGCCAAGCCCATCGTAGCACTGGTACTTACAGCTCCCTTGCAGTAGAGTCGAAGTTGTCCCGATGGAGTTCGAACAATGACAGACATCCTTTTCCGGTCACTGGAATAGTAAAGGGGTGGGGGTATGGAGGAAAGAGCCATCACCCGTCTGCTTTACAGGACCCAGCTCCAATAACTGAGCACAAAACAAAAGGTGCCGAGTCTAGAAGCAGCGAGCTCCATCTCTCCGCAGCTTTGTCCTCAAAGTAAGACTTCAACTGTATAGTTTACTCATTTATTCCAAACAGACAGAAGCTCACATGCCTTGCCGTGCCATAAGGACTCACGGCACGGCTGTTCGCCAAAGAGCCAGAAACGGAACATTTGCGCATGAGCCGGGCACGCGGAAGCACTGTCGAGCCCTTCCGGGACCACTCTATTTCACAGCTTCAGAGTCACCCCCCCCCCAAACAGCCAGGTGGGAGAGTCAACACACTTCAGAAGCCCCTTGTTGGATAAGGAAATTACGAATTCATTGACTTGCCTGGCCCAGCACCAGCTACTTTCTCTCCTCTTGCTGTGGCAAAGATTCTTCCTGACACATTTATCCTCAGGGTCAAGCCCACTTGCTGAGCTTCAGGGACTTCTGCGGCCCGAGGCCCCCTAAATCGTCTTTCCTTACCTCTGTAGTGTTGACTCACTTCCCACTGGCCCTCTCATGCACCACCATGCTCTTTCCCTACACTTTCTGGGCTGTGCTTTGCCGACACTTCCCCTACTAGAACACATCCTCTCCTCCCGGGGCCTTTCCTTGTGGTGATCCGCACACTCTGAGCCACGGCACTCTCTGGGATGGGTCTTCACTCTCTCTCAGCTCCTAGGCTGCTTCAGTTTCTTAATGTACAAAGCAGATGACCAGCGACTGCCCCAAAGCAATCTTACAGAAGGAAGTGGCGTTAGGGAAATGATGCGTCCATTACAATGTATCAGAACCTGTAGCCATGATTGACACTTCTGCTCCTTCACTTCAGACACTAGACCCCTGTGCTTCCATCCACAGCCACCTTTCCTCTTCCTTCCGGGCTGACTGTCACCAGCTGGCTGCGGTTAATGCAGCACAGGGCAGCAGTTGCCAACAGGAGACATGCTAGGGGCTGGAGAGATGGCTCAGTGGGCGAAGGGCTGACAGTATGAGGATGAGGACCCAAGCATGGGTCACCAGCATCCACACGGAAGCAAGCCATGGTGGTATGTCTCTAGAACACAGGGCCAGGAGACTGGACAGGCGGATCCTGGCTTTTCGCTGACCAGCTGGTCTAAACACTGAGCTCTAGGTTCAGTGAGAGACTGTGATGGCTGTCTGCCTCAAACATCAGGTAGAGGATGAGAAAGAAGACACAGGATTTCTACTTCTGACTTCCATAAGCACAGACACGGGAGAGCACACACATACGTGTAAGACACATGCATTACAAGCCAGGGGGAAGGAGAGGAGGAGAAAAAAGAGGGGGAAGAGGAGGAGGAAGAAGAGGAGGAAGAGGAGGAGGAGGGAGAGAAGGAAGAGGAAAAGGAGGGAGAGGAGGAGGAGGAAGAGGAGGAAGAGAGGGAGGAGGAGGAAGAGAAGGAAAAGGGGGAGGAGGAGGGGGAAGAGGAGGAAGAGGGGGAAGAGGAGGAAGAGGGGGAATAGGAGGGAGAGGAGGAGGAGGGAGAGAAGGAAGAGGAGGAGGAGGGAGAGGAGGAGGAAGAGGGAGAGATGGGGAGGAGGAGGAGCATACAGAAAGTCCCAGGAGGCATCTAGGATGGCGGGAAGCTCCAGGCAGGCACACCATCACCACCCCTCACCCCTACAAGAATTGCTGCCATCATCTTCTCTGTGGCTCATCTGACCCCAAGGGCTTCTCCCCACAGAGCCAAGCTCATGGATCCGAGCTCCGAGTTAGGCAGGAAAACATTTCCTTTGAGAGGACAGGAAAACATTGCACCTTTCAAGCCATGGTGAACCATTTAACAAAGGTTCTAGGAAACTAAGTATTTTCATTTTCTTTTTTTCAGACTAGCCCGGAACTCACTATGTAGCTTACGTTGGTCTCAAACTTGAGGCCTTGCCTCAGTTTTTCACAGGCTGGAATTACATTGCCTGAGCAGCCATGCCCAGCTCCATCAATTTTTTGATATCAGGAAAAGGTGGTCTCGAGACAAAAAAAAAAAAAAGTCACTCTAGTTTTGGAAGGCAACCCTGCTCATGCGGTGTAACCACAATGCCGTCCCTCTGCTCTACTCCTGAGCTTCCAATGTGCAAGAGAGAGACATCAGACACAGCTCCTCAGAATAAACCATGGATGCTCCAGGGGAGCCATAGAATCTGACAGATATTCCTAGATCTTAAAGAAACTGTGCTGGGTATGAAGGCTTCAGGGGAGCCCTAAGGGAAGGGCCTTGTGAGGGCCTAGCCTCCTGTGAGGGTGAATGGACTCTCTCTCCTCTGTGGTCACACGTTAGCTTCTTGCTCAGATGGCAATGGAGGGTGATCTCACAGAACCTGGGCCAAGACAATGAGAACAGCAAACGCCCTGGCCACATTCTCCCAGCCATGCTCTACATCTGCAGCTGTTAATGCAAGAGCACCTAGCTCGAAACAGCAAAAGGATCGCTCTCAGAGAAAACAGAGGGAAGTGGTGGACTTCGCTCTCCTCAGTGAAACCCTTAAATTCTAAGATGGGGTTTGTCATGGGGGTGGCTTTTATCATGATTAATGCCTAAATACAAATCATGCTACACAAGCAGAAAAATCTTTAAGTGAAGCAATTAAACATATATGAAATGTTTCATGTCTAATGTATGAAAGAGAAACATACCTAGAAAATTCCAGAACATTGAGGATTCCAAATGTCTGTTCTTGCCCCATCTACAAAAGAAAAGGGGGGGCTCTTACCTGAAGTGGAAAAATATTAAATCAATCCCCCCTCCTAAATACCAACACACACACACACACACACGCACACAAAAATACACACACACATGCACGCATGCGCACACGCGCACACACATGCACTCACGCGCACACACAAAAATACACACAAATGTACACATACACACACACACACACACACACACACACACACATGTTGGGACCAATTGGAGTCCTGGCCTTCAGCTGCTCTTCCCTGCTAGAGAATTCTAATTGAAGTTACTAAAGGCTGTGCCTTGCCTAGAGGATCAGAGGATGGGATTTTCACCTGTTGGCCATTGACTGCTGGGTATTTAAGCCTCCATGGTGCTATTAAAGAAGAGCCTTTGTACCAGTGATTGGAGGTCCACATGTCTGTCTGTCTGTGTGTGTGTTTCCTCAACCTCCAGCCCCTTGCCCAAAGCTCGCAAACTGGATTCTAGCACATAGAGTGCAGAAGGGGGGGCAGGGCGCGCGCGCGCGCGCGCACACACACACACACACACACACACACACACACACACACACACACACACACGCTGCCCCTACCCTCCACTAGCCCCCTACACCAGCATTCACAGCCTGGACTGCATTCTCACAGTCTGGCGGGGTCAGCGCGCCCTCTTCTGGCAGAAGCTCTCATTCTCTTTCCGAGACAGGCTCCTAAACTCTGTGCGATCACTACAAAGCTTTGAAAACCAAAGATACAAGCTGCGCAGCACCATCCGAGACCTTGGTCAGCTCTGCTTATGAATGATGCAGGGATCCACACGTGACCTAAGGTCTCCAGCAGGTCTGAGCACTTCCACATCCACCACGACACCATCACACTGAGTTAGCATCAGAAAAAGCAGCCAGCAGGTTCAGGACAGCTTTTCCAAAGTACTGTCCTCAACCTTAATGGAAAACCTTGACACTTAAGGATTTGGAGATTCTGAATTTCCATGTAAGGGACTCTGGGTCTGAACCTGATTTTTAGGACAATTAATCAAACACTCCTTTACCCTGTGTTTGTTGCAGTGGGAGCATCAATATATGTGTGAGCCACTTTCAAACACTTTAATTTGCTATTTTTGACACACCACAGTGGTAACAATGGGGGCTTGGGCATCCACACACACAATTCTGACTCTAAATTCTGACAGACTTTCTGTGAATGGGAACAGTGCTCCTGACTGCCTTACCTGCCCACTACAACACTCTCCTCTGGCTGCGTCCTGAAATATAACCAGCAGCCGAGTTCACCTAGCCTTGTAGATCCTCTTACCTCTCTATACCCACCAGCTTACCCCTCAGCCCACCCAAGACACATCAGGATGTTGTCTAGAGAGGCACCCAGCGCCCCTTTCCTGCTCACTGCCAGGAGCCACCCCCTCTCTGCGCCTTGATCCCATGATCACCCCACCTACAGCGCATGTGCTGCTGAGATTATCGGCGAGGATACTTCATGTAAATACGAGGTGACGCAGGGAGACTCTGTGCTTCAGTGATCCCCAGAACTAGTGACTGAATGGCATTTTAATGGCTGTTGATGAGCCCTAATTAACTAGGGATATTACCTCTAAAAAATGTGGCCTTAAAACTTTGGTAAGATTCACAATGTAGCTCCTAATGTTGAGCTATGGCCCATTGGGTCATCTACTCCAGTATCTTTTGAGGATGCTCTCTCTGCTGTCTTTGTTAAACAACCTGTTTAAAATGACTGTGCTTTTCAGCGAAATTCTTTTCTTCAGGAAGCTAAGAACTGTAATAGATGCAGGAGGAGAAAACACTCATCCAGGTAAGAGAAAGCCTAAGCTCTAACATCTTTCTCTCATAGCCAGATGGATGCCCAGCGGTCTGAGGCCCTACTGGTCAACCGTGAGACTGAGGGGGCTACAGAGACACAGGGCCAGCCTTAGAAACGGAGGCAGAAGGTACTTTCTCAGCTTTGGGAAAGTGAAGAAGAGGCTGGCAAATTCCCTTACTACAAATATTTCTTGGGAGTGAGGAAAAGATTCCAAGGGGCATCCCCAAGCCCCAGGGTTATACTGCTGCCTCCCATGCGACCATGGCATTCCCACAAAGTATTTCTTATCTAATCTTTCACTGAAAGACAAATACAAAGTCTGCCGTCTCACATATGATCAACACACTATTTCATATGCACACCTTCCAAAGTACCGGGCCCCTTACCGCTTCGATGATGACGGAGTACGGCGTCCTGCCTGTAAACACGAAGCCAAGCTTCTTAGCTCCTTTGACCAAAGCAGCTTCATCTGTCAATAATAAGCCAACAACACACAGGCTCATCCCTTGTCATGACAGAATTCTGCTAAATGTAGAATCAAAACCCATCACGATCAATGGGGCCTGGTGTATCCTCACACAAACAAGGACTTGAGACAGATACACTGACACACAGTGGGGCTTGAGATGTCTTTTGGACAGACGGCATACCAACAACAAAGTCTCCAGGACCGCAGGATTTTACACTCCTGCTGGGCTCTGCTGGATCAGTTCAAAGGAAACTCCCTCTGCCGATCTCTCAGCAAGGCCGTGCTCAATTGCAGTACTGTGTGGGTCAGACCACCAGGAAATGCGCCAAGGGCAAGGGTTCTGATGCTCCATGGGGTGTGGTAGATGAGGCAGTCATGGAGCCAGCCTGGTTCTCTTTTGAGATCATTGTCTAGCCCAAGATTGTATACCAAAATGTGCAAGATAGCCCAGGCTCTTCCTTGCCACCAGAGCACCCTGAGAGTCAGGACATCCCGGTACCAGCTCTCCTTGGTTTTAACACCTCTAATCATGAACTGGAGGCGCTGTCAGGCCAAAGGGAAACAGCAGGTCTTGTGGGGCAAGGTGCATCAGAGCATCTTCCAAAAATAATAGAAAACACCCCCCAGAAAACCAACAAGGCACTTCCGGCACCAGCCTCACCTGGGGAGGAAGCCTGGTAGATGATTTCATCCCCATCCTTCTCAGGGACTACGGTGTGACAGACGGCCAGCAGGGTAAGGAACTCTTGGATACAAGGGGCTGTGGGCTGAAAGCAGAAGAACCAGTTAACCGGTCACCAGACTTGTCACTCACAGTGGATTCAAGCCATTCTCAGCTTTAAAAGCCAGTGAGAAGTCACTGGCACAAACCTTTGACCCCCAGCACTTGGGAGCCAGAGGCAAGAGGATCTCTATGAGTCCATGGCTAGCTTGGTCTATAAGGTGAGCTCCAGGCTAGCCAGGGAAATAGAATGAGACTGGTCTCAAAATAAGAAAAAGAAAAAAGAAACCCGTAAGAGTTTGTCATTGGCTTATACAGATTTTAGATGCTTAGCTAGCCAACTCTAGGACCAGACACTTGTGCTCCACGGAGCCCACCTCCTGCCACTCTGAACTTCAACCAAGCCACATCCTTCCTCAGTGTCCCTCAGGCCCACAGCCCTCTACCTGCCTTCAGCATGCTCTCCTGGACAATCATTTGAGTCACATCCTGCAAGCCTATTGTGCTGGGCCTCGGAGCAAAGTCACCCTGTGCTACCAGGAGACATTGTCCTTTCTACCCGTTAAGCTGGCTAGTATTCTGAATGTCTGATTTTCCTAGTATCCATAGCTAAAATCCAAGGTGTCCCTGTGTAATCAATCTTTTCCTACCATCCCTAAGAAAAACAAATCCTAAGGATTTTAACTGAAATCTCGGGCTATAATACACTTTCACATTTCCTAAAGACTTCTAAGTCTTATAAAACTAGAACCTGGGGCTTACATATTATTATTTTATTTGTTCAAACATACTCGGGTAACCAGTGTGATCAAGCACTATGTTCACCAAGGTTGGGGGTGGAGGGGGACTAAACACATGCACTAAAAGCCACCAACACCTCCTGGCTCTAGGCTGCCTTCCAATGCTGCAATAACCACCAGGACCAAAGGCAACTTGGGGAGAAAAGGGTTATTTCAGTTTTCAACCCTCAGATCACACCCATCTGCCTTCCTGCGATTATCTTTATTGGCAGGAATTTGGTCAATGTTTAGGGTTCAGGCAAAGATATTCCATTTAAGACCTTCCGAGATATCCAAGGACATAAAATTACCACATGCCTAAAGCTGTTGATTCATAGCTGCTCAGATAGATAGAAAAAAACAAGCATGCCCTGGTTTTACCTCACTTATAGATAAGAAAAAAACGAGGACCTAAAATTAACCTTGCATTAAAAGATTCCTAACTCCTCACAATCACCTTCACCTCAGTTTACTGATGATTTTAGCTCAGGAGATTTACTGTTTGTGTTCTTACTCTCAGGGACAGCAGGAAAAATAATTAACCATCTGTCCACAGTGTGGAGGAAGACAAACTTCCAACTGCACATCTGATAGGCATGAAGCCCAGGATCTGACCATTTAGAGGCTTGGGTCTCCTCTTTGTTTCAACCACTTAGAGTAAATTGTGTAAACTTCATATCTAATGGGCCCTTAGACCTTGCAACCTTTGGCAAAAGTGCTAATGGACCAAAGGCCATAAACTTCCCTTGTCTGTGTACGCGGGTTGCCTGGTTATTCTATATGCCTGCAGGATTTTGTGGGTCTTTATTGCTGGGTTATAGCAAAGAGAGTTAAGAGGAGCTGGAGCAGAAGTTGGAGCAGAAGCATCCCAGAAATTAGCAGAGATAGGAAAATGGGGGGGGGGTAAATAGCAGAGAATTGGAGTTGGAATTAGAATTGAGACAGAGAATTAGAGCTAAGAAATGATAGACAGGATAGAAGAATTGGAATAGAGAACAGAAAAGAGAGAACAATAAAGAGACATGGATAGAAAGAACGTGCCATGACTAGATTTCTTCCTTTTGCTTATTGTTGCATCTTTTTTTGAATCCTGAGAGAAAACTTTAGAGGCTGGTCCTTTAAAGATTTTTATAATGTTTTATTCCCATTGGCCAATAAAGAAGCCGATTTGGTCTGTAACAAGGCAGAATAAGGCCAGGCGGGAAAGCCAAATTGAAAATACAGGGAGGCCGAAGGGCAGAGTCTGAGACAGACACCAGCGAGCTGCTGGAGCAGCAATGTGTGCTGGAGAACAGACAAAAGCCATGGCCACGTGGCATTGCATAGATTAATAGAAATGGGTTGATTTAAATGTAAGAACCAGTTAGTAATAAGCCTCAACTATAGGTCAAACAGTTTTAATTAATGTAAGTTTCTGTGTGATTATTGGGGACCTTGTAGTCAGGAAATGAAAGCTCTGCCTCCGTTTATAGTTGCAGCTGAACAAAATGCTGGGAAATAATGGTAGTGAACGTCCTGCCTCCAGTGGGCCATTATTCAGGGTGGGAGACGCTGTCTTCTGGACAGGACAGTGATGTCTCACTCACGAACTCATTGCAGCTGTGATTATCTGCTAAGACTTGTAGAAGAGCAGGCCAGCATATGTCACATAAAACAGTGACCCGCAAGCCACTCTTTGTCCTAGAGGGAAGTGGTACACTCACATGTTGGTCCTCGATGTTCTTTAACAGCCTGGGATCATTAAAGTCACATGAGTCACTGGGGCATGGACCCATCCGGCTGGAAGAAAGAACAAAATTCATTCATTCAATTTCAAAGTCAAGACAGCTCACACAGAGAGAATCCACCCTCAGAAAGAACCATAAAAAAAAGTTCACAGTCTTACACTCACCATTCAAGGGTCTGGAATAGTGAATATTATATCAAGCTTTAAAATATCTCAGGTTCCTAAACTTTACTATAAAGAAACTGTGTTACGAGTTTTTATAGAAACCAAGAGCTTTACAAGGGAAAGGATCCTAAGCTATGTGCCAACACTGTAGCCTTCATCTGGGGGTGGTGGGGAAACAGAGGAAGACTGTGCCATGCTTCATCATTCATAGCCAGAGTGCACACGGAGAAGAGAGGACACTGGATATGACGGCTGTGAGCCATCAGGCTGGAGCAAGCGAGAGCACCACACACTCCTTCATCTCCACCAGCTCCTGCAAGCCACTCTCCAAGACCACAACAGTGAAAGACCAAAGGGCAACTGATGCCAGTCTTAAGTGTGAATGGATATCAGAGATTAATGTAGCAGATGAAACAACTATTAGCTCATGGGGAGGGGACATATGAAATGCCAGCTGACACCACCACAGGACGCTAGAGAAAGCCAAAGAGGGGCGCCATGTGAAGAGTGCAAAACACCTGCGATGCATGGCAGGTAGCTGAGGGATGTGAGGGCATCAGGGCCCTGGGATGGGTATCAGGTACCTGGGAGGGGTACGAGGTACCTGTGATGGACATCTGGTACCTATGATTGATATCAGGTACTTGTGATGGACATCTGGTACCTGTGATTGATATCAGGTACCTGGGAGGGGCACGAGGTACCTGTGATGGTTATCTGGTACCTGTGATGGACATCTGGTACTTGTGATGGATATCAGGTACCTGTGAGGGGTATGGGTACTTGTGAGGGGTATGGGTACCTGTGCGGAGCATGACGTACCTTTGATGGATGTCAGATGCCTGTGAGAGGTATGAGGTATATATGAAGTGAGGAACTTAAGATACTTGAAAGGAACATGAGGAACACGAAGCTGCTGGACCAAGAAAGGCCATAAGGGAATGCAGAATACCGAGTAAAAGAAGTCAAGTTAAGCTGGCAGCATGCTGTCGGATCCCAGCACTGCCTTTCTGGAGAAGACAAAACCACAGAGACAGGAGAAATCCCAGTGGCTACCGAGGGTGGGCTGTTTATGACAGGGGGGTGGACAGGCAGAGCAAGGACTTTAGAGGCAATGGAAGCATCCCTCATGACGCTGCGATGACAGATATATATTGGCAAACATATGTCCGTACTCACAGGATACAGAGCACTGAGTGACCCTGCTATCGGATGTGGACTGTGGGCGATCATGAGTTGTATTGGTTCCTGAATTGTGTGCACTGTGGTGGGGAACTTCCATCTTGGAGGTCATGGAGAAAACCCTGTGCTTTTGTGATTTTACCGGGAAATCAAAACTCCTCTTTTAACTGGTCTCAAATGGTTGAAATGGTTGGTTTTCCATTTACTATGCTTGCCACAAATAAAATGCTTTCCGCACAGATGACTCAGTGGTTAAGAGCATTGACTGTTCTTCCAGAGGACCCAGGTTCAATTTCCAGTACCCACATGGTGGCTCACAAATGTCTCTAAGTACAATCCCAGGTGATGGAGCACCCTCTTCTGGCCTCCGAGGGCACTGCAGGCCCACGGTGCACAGACACAGGTGCAGGCAAAACACCCATTCACACAAAAGAAAACTAAAGATTAAAAAAAAATTAATATAAGCCCACAGACAGTGGTCACCAAGTTTATGAAGAAAATCTAGAGGCAGGTGTTGGGCACAGGAGACACAGAAGAGGAAAGGGGCAAGCAAGAGCAAGAATTAGAGTGCCTTCCTGAAAATTGGAATAGGCATCCATAAAAATTATTAAGGAGGATGAAAGGTTAAAAATGAATGACAACAAATACATGGCAAGAAGGCAAGACAGATAACAAAATCGGAGGATCAACTCCAAGACAGAGACAGGAGGGGAGACAGCTATTACGGAAATAACACAAGGACATTTCCCAAATATTAATAAGAGGAATTTACAGACAGAAGTGGCTCAAGAGAAAGTGAATTAACCACCCAACACAATAAAGAAAACACAGCCTACCCAAGGGTTGTAGTTTAAGTCCATATGCTAAAGAAATACAGAAAATGATAAGCACTTCCAAGGGCTGGGAAAGATGGGGGGAGGTTGGTAAAATGGCTTTGGGGGATGGGCTCTGGGAAGACGACCGGGGGGAGATGGGATGGCCACAACAGGGCAGGGAGCTGAATCTTCCCCAGAGATACAAAGTCCTACAATGTCTATAATTCTTAATTAGTATAAAAGTATTATTTGGAACCACAGGAATCTGAAGAAAATAAGTACAAAGGTTGCAGGTGGCTGGAAACAAAAGGACTGGACAAGAGGCCATATTGTTGATATCAAAGGCTTGGTGGCGTGGATTTAACCCATGTCTCCACTGAAATCTTATCCTGCCTCTTTTTCAAACTAATATACTCACAACTTACACTTAGACCTAAAACTGTCCTGATGCATCCCAGCTAAGGAAGTAAGATGTCCTGGACTCTACTTACCAGAAGTCATCTGATGACGGCTCTCTGGCTAGTTCTGGGAAGTGGCTGGCAGGAGAGAACAGAGCGGTCAGCGGCAAAGCCAGTTCTAACGTACACACACAAACCCACAGGTGCTCGGTACCTCTCAGGAAAGGTGAAGAAACACATTCCCAGGGACTTCAATAAGTTTCACACGTATTTAATAGCAGCCACACAGCCAAACCACTCACAACACTTGACAAAACAGAAAACCCTATGCCTTGTTGGGAGACTAGAAATGAGATTTCCTGGATCTGATAAGCGCGCTCACCCATAGGTCACGCCGGCAATGCTACACTTCTTGAAGTTCATGATATTGCACGTTAGCGTTCCAGTCTTGTCGGAAAACAGATATTTGACCTAAGCAGAAGACAAACGAAATGAATAAGAGGCGATAGGGGTGGCTCAAGGTTAAGAGATAGGCTGTTGTTCTTCTAGAGCACCCAGCACCCACAGGGGAGGTCACAACCATCTGCAACTCCAGTCCCAGGGGACCCAATGCTCTCTTCTGGGTTCTGAGAGCACTAGGTATTACATGGGGACACAGATACACACATGGTCAAAACACTCCATATATTTTTATTTATTAAAAATTTCCACCTCCTCCCCTCCTCCTATTCTCCCCACTCCCTCTCCCCCTCCCTCTCGAGTCCTAAGAGCAGTCAGGATCTTAAAAGAATGTAATAAGATGCAAGGATCAAGAAATAAGTTGTCTCGTATGTCTGTAAATCAGAATGAAGTTTAAATGAGAGTCCACAAAAGTAAACACATAAATCATGCACCTTAAATCACAGACCATTTGCAAAAGCTTTTCTGTTACTAATCCTAAAAGCTGGGTAATAAAGAACAAAAGCTTCCATAACTGCCCTGGCCACTGTCTATCACAGTGGTTCTCCAGCTTCCTAATGCCGCAACCTTTTAATACAGTTCCTCATGTTGTGCTGACCCCCCCAAACAGAATTATTTTGTTGTTACTTCATAACTGCAATTTTGTGACTGCTAAGAATTGTAATGTAAATATCTGATATGCAGATATCTGATATGCGACCCCTGGGAAAGGGTCACGGTCTGCCCCCCGCAAAGGTGTCACAGCAAAGGTTGAGAGTTTCTAGTCCATAAGTGTCACCACAGGTCTGTCACTCAGAATTCAGGTCTCACAGAAGATGCAATTCTTTTTTAAGAGTCCATCCCCTGACTAGATTAACAATGGTCACCATGGCAAGATACCCCTAAAGGTGCAGTAAAGGCGCTCATATTTTGGCAGTAGCCAACAGCTGTCTAATTGAACCTAAGGCATCAACAGGATGGAACCTACCCAACTACCTGGGGCTATTAGGGTCATAGATTTTAGAAGAACACCCTCCACCCCAGACCAACATATCTCCTAGCTGTTTGTTTGTTTGTCTGTCTGTCTGTTTTTTTATGGCAGTCTTACAGTATAGCCATGGCCGGCCTGGAACATGCTTTTTTGCCCTTGAACTAACATGTCTTCCTGTTTCTGCCTCCCAAGTGCTGGAAATAAAGGCATTGTGCTACCATGCCTGGCCCGACAAGCATAACTCCTAACTAAATTCTAAATGCCTATACACAGAGTTAAGTGTAGCTCTCACCCTTCATCAAAGAACCTGCTCTCTGCAGCAGACAGAGATCACCACAGAAAGCCACACCTGGTCAAAATACAGAGATCAACAGGGGAGCCCAACCCCAAGGGATATTTCTACAAGACAACTTCTACTCCTAAGGCTCGGGGATCGTTGAGGAAGAGGAGATGAGAAGACTGGAAGAGCCAGAGGAACAGGAAGTCTGCTGTGAGACTGTGTTTCCTGGAAATGACAGGGAAGCTAAACCCAAGGTACCTCGACAATAAGGCTGTTAGCAGACCTCAACAATGACAACCCAACAGAGAGCTAACACGGGAACCTCACCTGACTGCATTCCTAGACAAAGAACTAGAGGTAACTAGTGGCTGCTGTCTTGGGGTTTCTATTTCCATAGTAAAACACCGTGACCAAAAGCGTCTGGGGAGGGAGAGTTTACTTCACCTTCCAACTCTTAGGCTACACTCTGCCATTGAAGGAAGTCAGAGCAGAAAGTCAGGACAGGAAGCTGGAGACAGGTGCTGATGCAGAGGCCACGGAGGGATGCTGCTTCCTAGCTTGTTCTCCATGGCTTGCTCAGGACCACCAGCCCAGGAATAGGACCACCCACAATGGGCAGGGTCTTCCCCTACCAATCACTAATTAAGGAAATGCTACACAGGCCTTCCTGCAACCATCTTATGGAGGCATTTTCTTAACTCTTAACTGAGGTTTCCTCCTCGTAGATAACTTTAGCTGGTGTCAAGCTGACCTAAAAACTAGCCAGCACACCTTCTGAAAGAAAACTAGTTTTTCCCAGGGATGAGCCTCCTAATTGGTTGTCTAATACCAAGTGGTCTTCCCTAATCATATATGCACAGTAGCACTAAGTGGACTCAGGAGGTTTTATTTGCATGCTTATGCATTTATATAAATATATGTGTAATATAATAGTCAAAGAAAGAGTCCATCAGTTTGAGAAGGAACTGACTTGATAAAAGTATGGAAAGAATTTGTGTAGGGAGGGATTCGAGGAAGGAAAGGGAAGGGCAAAGTGATACAATTACATTTTAATTAAAAGTTTTTAAGATTACATAATTATAAAATCATGACAAGCAGCTTTCCATGCCCTTTACATGGAAACTTTTCTAAAAATAATAATTACATAAATTTATGATATATACATGGTATTTCAAAACATGTATACATGCTGGTCATATTGATCAATGGGATAATTAATTGTTGTTTTCAATTAACAAGAAATTTTATGTTTCATAGAGAGCAAAATCTAAGAACATTAAAAACACAGTAGAATCAGTTCCTTCTGTCTTTTTTTTAATAGAAGAATTGGAAGATTATCAACAGAGTAAAAAGGAAAATCTTATAATAAATTACAGAATTTGTGATCCCTCTCCTCCTTAGGTAACCCCCACCCATGCCTGGTCAGAACAGGGCATTTCATCCTGGGCACTTTCTTAAACATCTTAAGTCCATCTTGCTGGGTCAGTTCAATGGCATATTGTGGGAGTCCACAGAAGCGGATCCATTCCACTCTGACCAAAGATCAGAGAGTTGAGATCTACTCCTGCTCCTTCAAGGATAAGACAGGAGGTTTGACCCAGGAAATGGCTGCCTACAGCAAGCTTGGCCTAAGGTGTGACTGCTGAATATTCCGCCTAAAAAACAGAATTCTTAGCTCAGGGTATAGGTGCATGGTGCTTCAGGTATTGGAGAGGCAATTGTTCTGTTGTGGTATATAATCATATGGAAAATAAACACAGGTGAATTCAGTATTCACTGGATTGACCTCCCAGTTCTGTTCTGTGTCTCTGTCTATTTTTTTTTTTTTTTTTTGTATCTCTGTTCTGTGTGCCTGGCATTTCTAATCCACATGCCCTCCCCTGGAATGTGCAAATTCCATCGAGGCTGCACCACAGCACACGAGAACAACCATATACTTAGCCCTGGGAACTGACAAAGCTCACTGAAGGCTACATATGTAGTTGTCCCTAAATATCCCCAGGGGCAGTTCTAAGAACCCCAATGGGTACCAAAATTATCATATGCTCTAGTCCAGTATATAAAATGGTGTAGTGTTTGTATAAAACCTACATTCAACCTCTAGTGTGTTTCACATGATCTTAGATGATGTATGACACCTAAGACATTAGAAGTGTCATACTGTAGTAGCTGGGAAACAGTGACAAGAGTCTTCTGTGTATATTTGGTACAGGTGTAACCATCATAGGCATGATCACACTTTTGACCTGCAGTTGGCTGACGACACAGGGCTCGCACCTGCTCCAGATGGACTCAGATACCATTTAACTAATCACATTGTCATTTCACTGTGTGCGTGTGTGTGTGTGTGTGTGTGTGCGCGCGCGCGTGTGTGTTTGGAAAGAATGCTTAAGAGAAAAGAGCAGACAGACACTAATGTTGCCTGGAAATACTGGGAAGGATTCAAAAGCGGCAACTCGTGGATTGTTATAGGAGTAGAATTTTACCAATGACAACGTCATTGAAGGAAGAAACAATTCAGGTAGATAATAGATAGACAGACAGACAGACAAATGATAACACATGATATAGATGATAGATAGATAGATAGATAGATAGATAGATAGATGATAGATGGATGGATGGATAGATAGATAGATAGATAGATAGATGATAGATGGATGGATGGATAGATAGATAGATAGATAGATAGATAGATAGATAGGTGGATAGGTAGATATTTAGACAGAAATACAGATGAATAGATGATAGACAGGTAGCACTGGATTCTGCTTCTCATCATGTGTACCTGAAGTACAGGTGCTCGGATGAAAACAGGGATGCAGCCTCACTGAGGAAGCTTTCTGCTTTATGACAGTATTCTCTCTAAATGACAATCTCTTTCCTACACCAAATAAACAAGTAATGCCTTTAATCGCAGCACTCGGGAGGCAGAGGCAGCAGATCTCTGTGAGTTCGAGGCCAGCCTGGTCTACAAGAGCTAGTTCCAGGACAGGCTCCAAAGCTACGGAGAAACTCTGTCTCGAAAAAAACAAAACAAACAAACAAAAAAAAAACAGAAGAAAGGAAGGAAGGAAGGAAGGAAGGAAGGAAGGAAGGAAGGAAGGAAGGAAGGAAGGAAGATGTGACTGCAGAATTACGTTTTGTTGCAAAACCAGACTGACAGATTTGAGCTTCAGCTTTCTAGCAATGAACTCAAAAACGCTCCAGCACAAATCCAGAACTGACTTTGTCCTTAATCAGGGAGAAGAGGAAGAGGGCACCTAGCCCAACTCTGTCCCAGAAAATGACAAGTGAGGTTTACATCTTCCCAGAGGGCCATGAGGCGGGTGTCCTGGGAACCAGCTTTCCTGAGGTGAGTTAATCATTTTCTTATCTAGAAAATGAAGATGCAGCATGCCACCCTCCCATAGGATTGTTGGGAAGCTTAAGGTGCATAAAATAAAAAAAATCATAGTTTTTAATTACTTTAGGTCAAGAGTAAGTATTATGTATTCAGAAAAGGCTATGGACTGCAGTGATCCAATGGAAGAGGCAGACATAATGCAACATGCAAGGAGAGACAAGCAGAAATCAAGACAAAGATACAAAAGTCGCTGGCTCTCTGAACTATGTCAGGATCCCTGTCCTTCTAATGGCCCCATATGCGTTGTGGAGCGGTCTAGCAGCCATTTTCCTCCCCGTTTCCCTTGTCATCTGTTCTCAGAAACACGTTTAAAAGGGTCCAAACTAACATTATATTGTTGTACAACATTCTGTACTTTTTCCCCAGATATGTTCTTGGCAAAACGATCTACATGTGCCTCCAAAACCAAATGACAGCTGCATTCACCGCCACCTGCAGACCAGATGTCACAAACACAGTTGTGCAAGATATCTCCCCAGGGTTCCTCCGCTAAAACTGGCTTCCTGCTCATAGCACTGGCCCCAAAGTCCCCAAAGAGGCTCTCACCTGGCCAAGCTCTTCATTAAGGTTCGATGTCCTGGCCATAGCAGGAGTGTCGTTTTCAATATAATACATATCTGTGTCCTGAAAGAGAACATGGGGGAAGGAAGAAGGTAGGAAGCCTTCAGAAAACATGTAATTCTAATATCTCATTAAGATTACCACAGACCCTGGCAACTTCAAATCTTTTAATTTTTCATTCAAATGCTAACTTGTAACTCGGGTTGAAAATGAAGTTGCAATTAGCATAGCAAACCCTGTGACACAATATGACCATGGTATTCAGGTTTGGGTTCAAGACGATCAGCTTGCGCTCTAGCTGTGAGTTTGGTTAATGCCTCACTCAGAGGCTTGGGAAAATCAAAGCAATACACACATGAAAGTGCCTGGTTTGGGAAAAAAAAGTTGCCAAGAGCCAGTGCTTAATGGTCATGGCCATGATAGTCCCTTAAGAACCCCACCTCAACCCATCCATCCAGGGTGACTGTCAGACTGAAATCCATGCAGGATGGACACTGGTAAGCACACTTGAGAGGGCTTTTCATGCATAAAGGAGACTTGGGAAGCACAGCCATGGTGTCCAGATGACATGCACTCACTGAGCATCCTCCCCCACTCTCCCCACCCCTGGGGTTATGGCATGGCTTGCCAGTCATCAGTTTTTTTGGCTTAATCCATGACCTAATAATAAAGAGCCCCCGTTATTTCTTTTCTGGGACGCAATGAAATGACAAAGGCTGCTCAGGGAGTGTACTAGAAAGCAGAAGCTGGCAGGTGCCCAGTAGCTCATGTTCCATTCCACGCTTTAAAACTCACCCAGTTTATGAAGAGAGCTTGCGTGTACTTCACAACCTCCAGCGTCACCAGCAGGCTGATGGGAATCAGATTGTTGTACAGGATGATAAATGTCAGCAAGTTGTATCCAAAATTATCTGAGCTCGTGTCTATGGATAGAAGCCAAGACATCCACACAGCTTTAGTAGGAGTCTACATCTCGTTTCTTTCCGTTTTATTTTAGACTTCCCCCAACTCTAAAAATTGCTCACATCAGAAAAACCTGTGTACCCATCTTGAAACTGAGGGGTTACTGTGCCAGTTCAAACTCCCAAAACTATATGAATTCAGTCCCCGCAGGCAGTGCTGGCTTCTCTTTAGAGGTTGGGGAAGGAGGCAGAGGAGGAAGCAGAGACAGCTCTCCTTTGGTGGGGGGAATGCACTTCTTTGGCCTCAAAGGAGGATGTGGCTATTACAAAGGGGGTCAGTCAACAGGGCAGGAACAAGGGGAAGCCTCCAGAGGAGACAAGCTGAAGACTGAAGCTGGGAATCAGGAATTTGTGAGGGCTCCAAGCCACAGTTGTGTATCTCAGCAGGAGGGCTTGACAAAGGGTAGCAGATGATGAGCCCTGGAATTCCTGAGGGTTCCGGAGGAAAGGGAAGCAAGCCCTGGCTGGCCAGTTGACCTCCCCAACCTTTCATTTCTATCCGCTCTGGCCTTCCACTCTCCAGCTGGTAGCCCTCTTGGCTGGCATACTGCTTTACTCCTAAGTCCCAGTGACTCAAGAGGCCCCAGAGTACAGCATTTGTGTAGGGATAAGATTTGTCTGCCAATAAAATTTATTAATGAATTAAAACTTTATGGCTTAATACTAGTCAAAAATGCTTTATAACACCACGTATGACCACATATGATGTCAAAGAGCCGTGACTATGCAGAGGAACCCTACATGGAAAGCCTCAGAACCCAAGAGTATTCAATCAAAAACCAAAGATGTCCATAAAAGGAGAATATCTACCCCTATGTAAAATGTTCAGCCAAACAAGAACAATGAAAAGGAAGTTAAGACGGGACCAGATTTGGTAGGAAGTAAAATCCAAGCACCAACAGAGGCAGCAGAACGTGAAACTGACTTCTCTGAGTAGGTGCATGTATGGACCATGTCCCCCTGAACACCACACTCTTGACGCTGGAGCCTGGAGTGATCAGAACAATTCAAGTGCCTGTTTCCCCAAAGCTGTGTTCATACCACATGTTTACTTAGATAACTACATTAATATGAACCAGTCTTGTGTCTGAAACAAGCCACATAACAAAAACCAACACCAAGTGATCTGATCGACTATGACGCAAATCTTAGTCACGTGCCCATGTTCGTAAAGGAGCAACAGGCACGGGGGCTCCAGTCTGTAATCCCAGCATTTGCAAAGTGGAGGCAGGAGGACTAGGAATCTAAGGCTAACCTCGGCTACAGACTGAGTTCGAGGCCAGCCTATACCACATGAGATGCTGTTTAAAAACAAACAAGCAACATAAGTTTTCCTGCATTTCAAAACCTGAGAGTCTTATGCTTAAAGAAATTGGAGAAGTAAAAAATCATGTCTAAATCTTTTTAAAAATAATCGAGAAATCAATCACAATAATGCCAAGGCGATACCTTAAAGTTTTGAGATTTATCATAAAATTTTTATCACTAAATTATATTGTTATTCTTGATTTGCTGAGATCAGAGAATGGCAGATCTTCCTTCTATTTCCTAGCCAAACAGCAAAATGAGACAGAATCATCAAAATCAAGTTAAGTCTCAAAAAAATGGATCAAGTGCATATATTAAGAAAATCTGCCAACTCTTGTAAGAACAGTTGTGCCTTGGGCTATTATGCCACTCACAGGCCTTTGCCATACTGGTTCTGCTCTAGGGGGTGGCAGTGGCAATTGGATTGACTACTATCACCTACATGCCCTTACCACAGCTGCAGACATTCTACCCTAGCATAGGACAGGAACGCCTAGGGAACTCACATCGTAGGAATGGAGTATGGAAAACACTATATGCAATGCCCAATAAAAAACAATAGGTATCAGTGGCTAGTGGTCAAGGAAGGCAGGTGTTCCTATATAATAGCAGGGAGAAAAACAGAAAACTGGGGGTAGCCAGGGAAGAACTCTACTAAGTTCACCCTGGTCAGCACAGAAGACCGTGACTATGGACCATCTAGATGCCGGAACAGAAAGCAAGGAGACAGGGAGATGGACGAAGCAAGGAGGTGATACTGGGTAGTAACTCATCCACAGGAAGACATGGAGACTACCAGGAATGGTGAATTAGTAGGTTAAAAGTAACAATTTCATAAGCATATATGTTTTTAGCTCTTTAAGATATCCGAGATTATACAAAGCACTGATGATAATGCCGTGTTGTTAGGTTGATAGTACATACACACAGCATATATATGGAAATAATAGCACTAACAGGGGAGAGCCTGGGGACGAGCTGGACTGGTGTTTGTGAATTAAGTTAGTAGTAATGCAAAGGATGCTCATGTTGTCATCCCTAGAGCAACCATAAGAGAGTGTCGTTAAAAATAGCCGAGAAGTTGGGTGGTGATGGCACACGCCTCTAACCTCAGCACTTGGGGAGGCAGAGGGAGGGAGATCTCTGTGAGTTTGAGGCCAGCCTGGGCTACAGAGTAAGTTTCACGACAGTCAGAGATACACAGAGAAACCCTGTCTCAAAAAAAAAAAAAAGCTGAGAAACTATTATTAGAGCCTAAACAGTCCCCAGATACACCCTAGGCAGGGTAGCCATGGGAACAGAGAGAGGGCATGTCTATCACCCACAGACCCTACGTGGAAGGACCTTCCCAGAGGCTTGTCCCACAGAAGGCAGCAGCAGCCACCCCAGTGCTCACCCATCTTCTTGATGTACCAGCTCTTTCCACCATGGGACCCATTCCAGAACAGGGCCCCCACCGAGCTCACCAGGGCCATGACCAGGAGGATGCCAAACAACACCAAGATCTGCACGTTGGTTACCTTCTCGACGTTGGACCTCTTGAGAGGAGCTTTTGTTGAATTCTGTAAACCGGTATTGAAAATCAGTAACCATCACAGAACAGGCTTGGGGCAAAGTTAATGAGAAACTGAGTAAGACAACCACATACAAGGATGGAAATGAAAAATACGATTTCTCTTCCAAATTAAGGATGGAATTAAAAGATGCATCATACTCTTGAGTAAGCAGCCCAGAGTTTAAAGAACTCACCTGTGGCAGTTTGAATAAGAATTACTCATGTATTTGAAGGCTTAGTCATCAAAAGTGGCACTATTTGCAAGGATTAGAAGGATTAAGTGGGGTGGCCTCGTTGGAGGAAGTGTGTCACCGGGGATGGATTTTGAGATTTCAAAAGCCCACACCAAGACCAGAGTGTCTCTCTCTCTACCTACTGATCAGGATGTAGTTTTCAGCTACTGCTTCAACATCTACCTGTATGCCACCATGCTGATAATGAACTAAGCCTCAGAAACTGTAAGTAAGCCTCCAATTAAATGCTGCCACTTAAAATAGTTGCCTTGGTCATGATGCCTCTTCACAGCAAGAGATCATCGACTAAGACAACACTCCAACTCTACATGATCTAGTCCATACTTCTATTTACACATTAGCATAACATCAGCTACTTTCATAAACATAGCAGGCTCTGGATAGCCTAAGTGTGGTCTAAAGAAACCAGCACACTGGCAATTCTTCACCATGAAAATCTGAGGAGAACCTCCAAAACAACAATCCAGTTCTGTGATAAACGTAAGAGAGAGATTTAAAGTGTACATGTTCTTTCCAGTAGGAAGGAATAAAAAAAAGAAAGAAACACAAATACAAATGCAGCAATAAAGCAAGAGAAAACATGGGTAGGCGTCAAACAGGACAAATAAAAGGTTCACTTGGAGAGGTGTAAATAAATAAGCCCCTTAAGGCAGGACCATCTTGAGTTGAATGAAGAAGGTAGACAAGATGGCAGACAGAGGACAAAGTCTCATTTCTGGTAGAAACAACTCAGTTGGAGGTGAGGCCTGTGTTGGGACCTGGGTACCAAGGTGTTTAGGGAAGTTGCACTCAAGGTTCACTGCATCTCATATGGAAGATGTGAGACAGCATCTTTTCAGTAGTGGAAAAGTCTATCATGTAGCATCAACAAGATAGTTATATACCCAAAACCTTTTATAAAAGAAATTCTTAAGCCGGGCGGTGGTGGCGCACGCCTTTAATCCCAGCACTTGGGAGGCAGAGGCAGGCGGATCTCTGTGAGTTTGAGACCAGCCTGGTCTACAAGAGCTAGTTCCAGGACAGGCTCCAAAACCACAGAGAAACCCTGTCTCGAAACCCCCCCCCCCAAAAAAAAAAAGAAAGAAAGAAAGAAAAGAAAAGAAATTCCCAAAGATGAACTCAGTCTAGTGCACAGAGACCCTCACATCCCCGCCATCACCCACAGGGTTCTGAATCCCATTGTAGACCTGAGATTCTGTGTACTGAGGGCACCATGGATTTTACTAAGGGTGGAAAAGTTGGAGAACTGTTACACTAGGAGTTTTAGCCTGTCTTCTGTGTGACTTCCATTCAGTTCTTCCCTGCTCTGTGGTTAGTTCACTAAGTTGCCTTTTATTGACTTTGAAGAAAAGTCCTCCAGGGTCAAGATGGAAGTTTGCTAGCAAAGGCCATCTTCTAATCAGTCAGGGACACAGGCAGGCCCCTGGGACAGCACACCCAACTCTGGCCTCATGCTGAGAGCCAGGAGCTCTTCTGTTACAAGACTGATTATTCAAAGTTTTTAAAGATTGTGTTTAACTGAGTCATTAAATTTTCAGGAAGGAAATAGAAAATGACAAAAGCTGTCACTTCCGTGAGCCTGTCAGTTAGCTGAAGTCACTGAAAACCAGCCAGTCACCAGCGTTAGAAAAACAGACTTTTCCTTCAACACAAGGAAACAACCTAACACTCCGGGCTTTGACACGCGCCCAGCATGGAAAGCCAAGTCTGGCACACTCACCCCCTTTTCCAAATATGTCTGCTTGCAACCACGAGTTTTTAATGCCCAATTCCTATTAGGATAATAAGTTCCTTTACAAAATTCTTAGAGGACACTATCACTTTGATGTCTGGTACTACAATAAAAAATGGGTCAAACTCGAAGATTTTGCACAACACTGGAACCTGACCTGAATTGTATACCTCTTATCCCTCCTGAGAAAGTGAACATCAGAATGTTTGTCGGAATAAGCCTGGAGTGTGTCAACCTGGATTTCAGTCCGGTTCTTGCTCCTTCTAGATTTGTAAGCTAAGCTGGGGTTAGTTCAGCACTGTGCTTTAGTTGCTCTGTCTTTAAAATAACAGGGCTGGGGGTAGAAATATGGGTCAGCAGTTAAGAGCGCTGGCTGTTCCTGCAGAAGACCTGAGTTTAAGTCCCAGTACCCACAGAGTGGCCCACAACCATCTCTAATTCCAGTTCCAGGGGATCTGTCACCCTCTTCTCTCTTCCGGCCTCTGCAAACACTGGCCACACATGGCACACAGAAATTTATGCAAGCAAAATGCCTATACAAATTAAATAAAAATAAATATTTTAATAATGGATTACCTTCCTCACGCCAAAGAATACATAAACTCATTTATATGTGAGTCGCAAAACAATGTATGCTTTGTTATAATCAGTGTTTCCTATAATTATTGACTACCTTTTTCCCCGTAAGCCGACCAACAGTAAAGATCTGAGTGTTCGCCGTGTATAACCACACTAAGCATGAACTGAGGGAGCTCTGGGAGGTGAAGGAGACACAGTGGAAACTCAAGAACCCTAGGGGCACCCAGCTTCCTCACTGCCGTCCAAAACTCAAATGTAGACACAGTGTTATTTCATGAACAGAACGGCTTTCAGCTGTGCGTGTTATTTTATATTCCTTTCGAAATTTCATTCTTCCTGCTGTTTCAGCCCTAAAGGGACAGCAAGTCTAGCACAGATGTTTCTGGGGTTTTCCATCGCTCTCCGTATGTCAACAACAGTAAGTCTTGCCAAGGTTTGTCCCACAGAGGGCAGGGAAGTGCCCTGTGATGGTCACAGGATGTGAACGGCATAGACTCATCTCGTCCCCGGAAGACACAATGGTGATGCTCTGATACAAATTATACTCGGCCTGATCTCCAAAGCTGTAATATTAATATGTGATCTAGAAGAACAACATTATACCCTGAAAAATCATCTAGGGTACAAGGGAACTTGGGGAAAGCTTGGCCTTTTAATAATCCTGATCTGAACCCTAGCCTTGGGCCTCTCCCCAAACTTGAGCTACCCTCCCATGGTCTCCTCACCACTTCATTACAAAAAGACAGAAGCTGGGACGAGCACAGCTGCAAGGATTGGCTGTGGCTACCGGTAATGGGCTGCGAATGTTCACAGTGGCTTCAGAGGTGGTAGAGTGTGAAACTATCCGTCAGGATGGTCTTTGTGTGCAGACTGCTCAGAGACAATGAACTTGAAGTGTTTCAGTCCTGAGTGAATGAGGGCTGAGGAGGAGAGTAGACCAGATGCATCTCGGGCACACCGAACAATTTCCAGTCACTCAAGGGTTGCGTGGTGGCCACACATCTCCCAATCTACGACTCCTCAACTTCAGAAACTCAGAGGTTGAGTACCACACCCTCACATCCACCTGTCCCTCTACTCCGAGAGTCAGCTTCGACTTCAGGAACTCTTGGAGCCCTGGAATCCAAATTCCATCCATGCCTTCACTGCATTCACCAGCACTCTAGGCCTGGGATGGGAGACTCCTGCATATATATCCACAGAACTATATACAATGGCACATTTTACAATAAGTACATCCCTACTTTCTACATTGTCCATGTTACTCCTTTACCTACTCAGCCCCCAGCAGTGAAGATTTAGCCTTTATGCTAATGTACCCAGATTTCTTAGCACAAGACTCAGAGGAGAGTGACTGTAAACATTTTCAGCCAAGACAAAAACCAAATGTGACTCTGGAAGTTACACCAAACAGCAGAAGACCCGAATCTCTTTAATAGTCATAATTAAGGAAATACAATTCTGGTATGTGGTAATTTCCTCTGATGTAAAACCTTTCATCTAGAGGGAAAGTTTGTTCATTAAGATGCAGAATTTTCTGGTGCAGGAGAATTGTCTGTATTCTGTCATTCATGTTATAAATAAACGCTGATTGGCCAGGTAGGAAATATAGGCAGGAAAACCAGACAGGAAGTAGAAATGATGTAATGAGAACAGGAGAATTCTGGGAAGGAGGAAGTTGATTCCTCCCACTCCTGCCCAGATCATCAAAGCAGCAGGATGTGATATGCCCCACTAAAAAAGGTACTGAGCCACTTGGCTTACATAGATCAGAAAAATGGGTTAAAAAAGAAAAGAAAAGAAAAATGGGTTAATCAAGATGTGAGAGTTAGCCAATGAGAGGCTAGAGCTAAAGGGCCAATCAGCTTATAATTTATGGAGACCTATGTGTGATTTTCTTTGGGGCTAAACAGATGTGGGGTACTGGGCGGAACAGAAACCCCAACAAACAAGCAGGCCAGCCCTTCATGTTACAATTTTCTAGAGGGAAGTGACATATTCCATCCATAGGGAAGCTACTTGAGCTTGGGAGGTAAACAACCCAAATGCTTCAGAAAGTCCCTGAAGCTGATCAGATTCACTATGCCCTCCCTTTCCCAAGAATCTGCAAATAATGACTATTCTGAAAGATTTTTTGAACCCATTGAGCTGCTCAGGAGAGGCTCAGACCAGCTGAGCTGCCTGGAAGAAACAGACGAGGCACAGGCCAACTAAGGTGCCTGGAAAGGACGTCCCTTGGCCCACCAAGCTGACTACAAACTGTGCGGTGTGCTCCAGATTCTGTGAACCATCACTAGGGCTGGGTGGGTGTTGTACAGAGAGGGCCTGCTTGTCCTTCACGGCCACCCGGCTAGCTTACACTCAACATAACCACACAGAAACTGTATTAATTAAATTACTGCTTGGCCCATTAGCTCTAACTTCTTATTGGCTAACTCTCACATCTTGATTTAACCCATTTCTATTAATCTGTATATCGTCTCGAGGTTGTGGCTTAGTGGGAAAGATTCAGCATGTCTGACCTGGTGGCTTCATGGCGGCTCTCTGACTCTGCCTTTCTCTCTCCCAGCATTCCGTTGTGTCTTGCCCACCTACATAAGTTCTGTCCTATCAACTAGGCCAAGGCAGTTTCTTTATTCATTAACCAATGAAAGCAACACACAAACAGAAGGAACTCCTACACCAGGTGGACTCTGGTGGATGTAGCTATCTCTGAGTCAGTTCTGCTCTTCTAAGGAACCCTTCCTCCATATTCCTATGGGTGACCCCAATGAACGCACTGATTCGCCAAGTTGGACTTTGGTGGTATCTGTACTCAGGTTTGTCATAGTTCCCTGTCAGAGGTGAGCAGAGGTTTGTCCACATCTGTCCAGGAATAGTGGCATACAACAAAAACCAATATATATCAGAGGAATGTAAGAGATGATCCAGAGACTTACGTAGAAGTTATGTAGTTATGTATTATATAGAAGATATTTGTCCAAATATGTCAAATATAAATATGGACTATGAATCTATAAATGAAAATTTAAGAAAAAGCATTAACAGTGAGAACGAAAAATTCTTTTAAATTAATACTGTTTCTTTGGTATACAAAGAATAAGCATTAGTTCAAAGTCCTTTTCTTTGAAATGATCTAGAATTCATATAGTAAGAGTTTACTATAACATCCTAATTAGTGGGGTTCAGAGGACAAATGGAGCAGTTCTCGAAGGGTTGCTAAGCCCTCCTTACACCCAGAAGGCAGAGTTAGAGTCAGCTGTCCCGCTTGAACCCAGACAACAAAGACCACTTCTTTCCAGAGAGACTGTGGCCAAGAATGCGATGACCAAGGGTCAGAAGGAATCGCATAAGGAGATGAAACTGTCACTCTCCCCAGAGTTTACGTTCTTGGATGAATTCCAGCCTCATACTTGCCTTTATTCTCCACCCTCAAAGAGAGCAGAGAATAAGGGCGAACCAAACAATAAGGCAAGCAAAGATGGCAGAGCTTTCCACAGAAACATTTTACCTGCATGAGTTTGCTATCGTGGCCGGTATATACCACAACGCCAAAGACCCACTGAGTGTTCCTGAGCTGGGTGCCTCTTAGTAAGATCTGGTCGGGCCCGAGGGCAACAGAGCTGAAAAAAAAAATAAGAAAAACATTTGTACTTTTTGATAATCTGTCCAATAATTATGTATTTTCCTTTACATAAGCCTACAATAAACCAAAGTCAAAGCTGTGAATTTATTCTTTGTTTAATCAGTTGTTCCACCCCCAAATGCCTGCTTCATCCATTCTTTGCTGTAGAATAGAATTGAACTTTTTTCCCATAAAATATCAGAGAAGATTATGTCTCATAATCCTGTTATGGATACTGAAAAAGGGAATGCTAAAAGCCATGAGTTTACTCATTTCTGAAATTCAATTTACTTTATAGATTATGAAAGAAAAAAACAGCGGTAAATGTTGTAGTGAGCAGACGAGCATCTGAGGGATGCTCTACAGAAGGGAAGATGCTGGATGGCTGGACGGGAAATGTCAACCGAGAAGCAGCCTTACCCTTGCTTATCGCATTGAGCACCCGTAGATTCCTGTCCACCCCCAATCCCCCCCCCCAGCTAAGAATCTATTCGAAGTATGGGGAAGAGCTCAGACAGTGGACTATGGAGTATCAGCAAGCAGACTACATGTCAACATCACAACGAAACATAACCTCAGACAGTAAATCATTCAACTTGTGTGTGTGTGTGTGATGTCTACGTGTTCATGTGCGTACACACATGTGGAAGCCAGAGGTCAACATCACTCATCTTTCCACCTTGATTTCAAGACAGAGCCTCTCACTCTCACTGATCCAGCTAGCTAACCAATGGGCTTCAGGCATCAGCCAGTCTGCACTTCCCCAGCACTAGGGTCACTTGGATGCAGACTGGGAGTCATGCAGAACAGGCATCTCACTGCCTGTGCCTGTGCCGTACTCACAGCCCCGTTTCACTCAGCTTTCTAAAGCCAAGCAGAGCTGTCGTGAGGCTCGATGAAGTGTTGCTCTAGCATGTGCCAGGCCCAGCTGCAATGCACAGCACCGCACAATAAATTAATAAGATAGAAACAACGCTTTTAGAGGAAAGCTAACAAGAAACTGTGCATCTGTCTCTATGCATCTGTCGTAAGCTGAGTACACATCCCCTGCATCATTTAAGGCAACTTGAACTGCTTGGCCTCAGCAGTCACAAGCAAGAAAAAATGAGCCCCTGTCTATGAACCCCGCGTGAGGTCTTTGGCTTGCTTCTTTTTAAAAAATCTCTTCTGTCCTTCGATGCATGGGAAGTTTTAAATGGATCTAAATAGTGTGTCAGTCTCTCAGAAGTGAGCTAAGCATGAAGAAATCTCACTATTTCCAAACACTATGAAACTAGGATTCTTCAAAGCTCCAGGAATTCTTGACCACATTAAAAAGAAGGAGCGGGGAGAGGAGAGAGAAAAATAGTTAAGAGAAGGCGATTCGGACCTCTTCCCATCCAAGTGCAAGTTGCCGGTGAAGTCGTAGAGGTGGCGATTGGGCCCTTCACACTCTATCCTTCCCGTCAGCTTCATCAGCACCTCCCTGGTCTGCATGTCGGCCGTGTGGCTCAGACCCTGAAATGGAGCGACAAGCCCACAGAGAAGATCAAACGGTGCCAACCGTGTTTAAGAGACAGCATGACGGTCTGCCGGTCACAGGGACATAATGAGCCATCTGCCCCCGCCCCAAAGCTGCACACAGTCAGACACAAAGATGCCACGATTTCAATGGTGCAGAAGAGGAAGCCCCGACCCCTGCTAGAAACCTCCATATTTAAATAATAGTCTAGGTACTGAAACATAGGACAGGGAGCAGTGCTACCACCGCCCTGCACTGCTGCTCAGACAGAGGGTCCTTTAATATTCTATAATATATAATATTCTATAGTATATACCACTGCTGCTCAGACAGAGGGTCCTTTAATATTCTATAATATATAATATTCTATAGTATATACCACCGCTGCTCAGATACTCAGAGGGTCCTTTAATAGTCTATAATATATAATATTCTATAGTATATACCACCGCTGCTCAGATACTCAGAGGGTCCTTTAATAGTCTATAATATATAATATTCTATAGTATATACCACTGCTGCTCAGACAGTCAGAGGGTCCTTTAATATTCTATAATATATAATATTCTATAGCATACACTGCTTGCTACACTTAAAATTTTCAGCACTTTAGTCTGAAATTTCCTATCAAAATAGTTTGACAAACTTCATCAATGCTTCTTCAACCAGAATAAAATTTATACCATATAAAAAAGAAAAATACAAGGACAGAATTATTAAATTCAGTTTTAGAAGCAGAAAAAAAAACATAAAAAAACCCTCAGGGGTCTTAAGTACTTAGTACTTTTTATTCACAAAATTCACTTAAATGCTTAGTATTTTTATTCACGAAAGACTTTTTTATATTTCAATACAACATGTGGTAAGAATATTTTTCATTTTATCTATTTTGTGCTGCATTTATTTCTGTGACATAAGGTCCTTTTTTTTTTCCTGAAAAAAAAAAGTTTTTCATTTGGTATATTTGACCATGTTTTTCTCCTCCCCCTATTCCTCCCTGTGCCAGAAGGCTTGGTTCTTTCCGTTTCTCCTGGGATGTCTTTTCCTTCCAGCAACTTCCTCTTCTGGCTTTGGAACAATGGTTTCGCAGCCCAAGCAGGGTTAACTCGACCAAGGGCACTGTACAGGTGGTGGCCCATCCGGAGCTCTTCCACCACTAGAGAATCTGCAGCTAAACTTCCCTTGCGTGTTACTCTGTATTTTTCAGCACCCTTTTCTGTCACAGAGCCCAGGTCTGGCCTGGACACCCCTACCAGCCTCCCGACTGTGACATCGAAATGTTTTTAAACATCTTTCAGATACTTTGTAGCTTTTCAGATATGCAGATCCCTGGGAGCCTGGCCAGTAACCCGAGTGTCCTTAAAATGAACACAAAGACTTGAACCCTTTGTTTTCAGTGGTTTATAGGGTTTGCCGGGGAGGGATGGTAGAGACGGTAGTGAAACACTTTCACAGGCGAGTCCCAGCAGCTTACAAGAAGAGTGGTAGGAAGAGTTAAGGGTTCGAAAGGAGGATGAAGACGCCCCTAACCTGAACGGAGTGGGCGGAGCTTCGGAAGATTTAAGTGCGTCATGACCCACTGAGCTGAAGAGCCTCACTTTTCTGAGTTTCCGTCCCTCCTAATCCGAGGCACAGACTCCTCGAGAGCTCCCACGAGGGTTTACCGTGTAATGTTGTTCACAGCCGAACAACGTTTTCTCCACAGAGTGCGTGGGGGATATTTGTATCATATATTTGCAGCCTCACCTCCTGTAACAACGTGAGTCACAAAGTAACTTTACCTGTCGTATTTTAAGGTTCGTTTCTCCATCCAGGTTAGCAGTTTCAACATAGCACATCCCCTGAGGCTCACTATGAGGAAGGGGAAAAGCCAAGGTTAGTACAATCCTCTCCACAAAGCCCCAGCTCATGAAACCTCTGATGTGGAATACGGGGGCTGAGTTTAAACCTCCTGACGCTACTTTTGGGGGTCATATGACTTTAGAATGGTATTTAAACTCTCTGTGCCTGGGTTTTTCCATGTACTAATATGAAAGGTACCAGGGGTTAAAAGCCATTGATCAGGCTACTCACAGAGAACACTCACGCAGATACAAGGAACACCCCAAAGCTGCTGTTGATGCCACAAACCATCTATGGTGAGCCAGCTAACCTGAGGTCACAGACAAGTTTCCTGGCCAAACTGCCAACTGACTTATATTCTAATAGTTTTCTCGTCACTATTGAATAAGGCCAATGAGTCGCACCCCTTGCTTATGGCTCTTTCTCCCTCCATTGGTTTGGGTCCTATCTTTAAACTCTTTATCCCTTGTTTTCCAATGCAAGACAAATCCTACACAAGAAACATGGCTGAATTCCAAGAAAATGCAAACTGCTTAAACACCTGCACTTCCCAGTGGTGTATAAATAGCGGGGTTAGAGTCTTAACAATGCATCCTATAACCTTGAACTCAAGAACAGAAATTCTTGGTGACCCTGGATTCAGCTTTCTCACTTTGCAGTGTGTGTTCCATATATAGAGCCAAGAAGGCCAAGGGTGGTGGTACCCAGCTCCGCCCATCCCTGTGTGGCGATGACTGTTTCTAGCACAACACTACCCAGAGATCAGCAACTGTTTGGGGCAAGAGTGAAGAGCAGGGCCTCCTGCGGGTTGTGTCTATGCTGAAAAAATGCCTCAGGTTCTCAGAACAGTTGTTCCCAGGCAACGCTGAGAGCTAGAAGACAGACAGCTGGCTGGATTGACCAAGAAAGGGCTGAGGTCTCAAGCCACGCTGCCTCCCAGGGCCACAGAATACTCAGTCCCTTTAACCAGTGTCTTGACCAGTGAGGACTACCCTAGAGTGGCTGGGAGCTAAAGCCGTGAATACCAGCAAAGGGGTTCTAAAAACCTAATGAGATGAAGAGGGGACAAAACTAAGCCAAACCAAAAAGCACCAGCCAAGGCTCACAACAGGGAAGGCAGTTGACAAAGCTCCAAGCTGAGGATCCCTAACTTAGCCAAATGCTTGAGGCTAGATATACTCCTGACTTCCACTGCTTCAGGTTTGCAAATGTTTGCATAGACTGCATAACAACTGAACATCTCAAATCTCAACATCTGAAATCCAAAACACTCCCCAAATCCAAAACTATAGTTCATTAGGGATGATGCTCAGCTCATAAAGGAGGTCAGGCTTGTGGGAGGGGACTCATGGGCTAGAAGAGAACAGATGAATTCAGATTTCTGCAGTTCATTTAGTACTTTATTGTCCTTAACGTTCGTTTCGAAACCTGTGCCCACCGGCACAGCTGACCTGGAGGAGAAGAGGACCATGTCTGCTGGAAGATATTGCCCATTGAGGACCTTCACGATGTCTCCCACTGCCACCTAGAGACCAGGGCCGAAGACAGGGAAGAAAAGAGAGCACACATGTGATAAGGGCGGTTAGAAACGTGAAGAAGAAAGTTAGTCTGTAACTAAGCCACACCAGCCAAGAACACAGGGCAGATGCTTCTACTGCGCCACAGCTGGCCTCCCTACCCACAAGCTCCACATCTGTGAGTTCAGCCAACTAGAAACGCAAAATATTTGCCAAGCCAAGCACATCTGCCCTGGAGTGGTGGTGTGCACCAAGGGTCCCAGCGCTTGTAGATTTGAGGCCAGCCTGAGTTGCACAGCAAAACTTTGTCTCAAAAAAAAAAAAAAAAAAAAGGAGTAAAAGATAAGCGTCGACATTAACAAACGAAAGCAGAAGCTGCCTGCATGCTGACTATTTCCCTGGCATTGTCCCCTAAGCTGCACACCACAGAAATGTTTCCATGGTGTTTCCATTACATTGGATTTTCTGTAATCTAGAGGTTTTACATTCATGGGAGAACATCATATGAACGTTCTGTGCAGTGTTTCTCTACTTTATATAAAGGGCTTGAACATTTATACTCTTTGACATCGGTTGTCATCGACCTGGAACTAGTCCCTACAGACACTGAGAAATGAACACACTGCATTTTTTGGTTTTAATAATAGCTTCTGTGTGTGTGTCTTTCTGTCTCTGTGTCTATACACGCATATATATGCACCTAAGTGTAGGTGCCTGTGGAGAAGAGGTGTCAGAGTCCCTGGAAATGGAGTTACAGGTAGATGTAGGTTGTTCTCACTCAATCACTGAGCCAACCTTCCAGGCCTAGCAATTTTGCAGTGAAGTTTCCTGAAAAGGATGGAAGAAAGAGAGAGGAAGGAAGGAAGGAAGGAAGGAAGGAAGGAAGGAAGGAAGGAAGGAAGGAAGGGAGGGAGGGAAAGAAGAAGAGAAAGAAGGGAAGAAGGGAGGGAAGAAAGAGAAAGAAAGGAAGGAGGGAGCAAGAAACAATACTTGAAGTTGCCCTTCTAAAACATTGTTTTCTCTTAAAAAAAACAAACAAACAAACAAAACCATCAGTTTTGAATGTCAGAATGATGAACAGCATCTCCAAAATCAATACTGTGTGTCCACCAACAAAACCCAGCTAAGATAGTTAGATGAATAGCTGCCTTTTCACATACAAAACACCAAGATAGCATAGTTGATTTCAGCTGACAACTAACAACGTCTTTCCTCCATGAACGGAACCCTCCCGCTGCCATCAGCAGGAAGGAAAACCACCTTGCTACCACTCTTAAGGACAAAAGCAGCAACTGGCTCCACACCCTGCCTGGAAACCTGCTCACATTCAGAGATCTTTCCACCAAACACATCTGAAGTGAAACTCTCGGAAGTTAAAAGACAACAGCTCTAAACATTTGAATTTAGCTGAAGAGGAGACAGGAGGCAGGGTGGGGTGTTTCTCACGTGGGATTTTCAAACTAGAAGAGCTATGAAGTTCTGGAACTCTCCTCGGAGAATAACGATGGTCGTAGCTTGAACATTATTACATCCTTATAGAAGAGGCCGGAAAGGAGGAGGCGCATGTCAGTTCTCACGGGAAAGCAGACTACACGAGAAAACTCTTACAAAGTGGTCATGACCTGGGCCTTAGAGCAAATTTTATATTGCCATCAATGTCGGCAATTTGCGACAAGTCTCCAAATCAACACTTTCTGGCATTATCTTTAAACTTGGTTCTTACCTCTTTCCACACGATGGTTTGCCACATACCATTTCTTAACACTGTAAGAGAAGAAACAAGGAACTGGTTAACATTGTCGAGACTCAAAATAAAATGCCAGCTTTCTACAAACCCAAAAGGCTCCTGGGAAGCTTGCATTTATCAATCCTATCAAATCACATCCTTGGTAGAATGGTAGATAACCAACCATGCCAACATGGGCCTCCATATGTGTCCCTTACAAGCTTCTGTGTGCATGTAAGCAAACCAAATTTATGCTTAGCCAGGAATAGAAAGGCCTGGTGTTACATAATTCCAATAGGAGCAACAATAGCAACAAAATACTGAAGTGATACAAAAAGCAAAATAATGAGGAAAGCAAGTAACAAACCATGGTGGGGAAGCTGTGAAACTTGTAGGGACAGAAACTGAAATCCTGTCTTCCAGAGTATACAAATCCCATCGATATAAAGACGAACATCTAATTTTAGCACGCTCCCATTTTTTTTTAAAGATTTTATAGATAATGTTTCTGACGTAATCTCAATGTCAATAGCCATGACCAAGCGTTACTTCAGCCCGGGACTGATCGTTCAATCAACACTGAGAAGAGCAATGAGCTGGCAGCTTACCTATTGTTTTCTTCTTGTTAACGGCGCTGTCTGCCTTATGTCGTTTCTGTCACAGGAAAAGAAGCAAAGGTTCTTACATCCAAATGTTCCAAATGAATAATTGAAATGGAAAGCAGTAAAATCGGGGGGGGGGGGTGATAGGGGCCAAGAACCCTACAAAGCCAATGCTGTAGAGTTCAGCTGGGTGGTTCGCCATCTGTCGGCACTGACTAGATCTAGATGTGGCGATTTGGAGCTTAAGTGGCTTTTGGTTCTACTCATTTACAAGCCTTTCAAAGTTTCAAATTCCTCACAGTTATTTGTGGACAGCCTGAAACAATGACTCGGTATTATAAAAACAAAGAGCAGGTTTCACTCTCAAGTTAATTTACTATGTATTCCATGAAATATGTATGTGGTGGGGGGGGGGAGTCAAGTGTGTGTATGGGTGTGTGTATGCAAAACAGAGACAGAAAGAGATAATGGCAACATGGTAGTAGCCAATGAGGTGTGAGGGAGGTATTAGGAGGAAGAGTCTTGGGGAATTACTTCAGGCACAACAAGCATAATGCTGCCTGTAGAGAGAGTGCTAACTAAAGGTTTCATTTGATACCTGAATACATGACTCTAAAGTAAGATACAAGGACTAACAGCGATAGACACCAGCAAGGTTCTAACCAAATGACCCAGGACATAGAAGTGCCTCAGAGCCTCTGCACAGGCGTTTGGGATTTTTGGAGTGTACCTTCCTCCCCAGCAAACACTACCGCTCCACTAGCAGCTGCTTAAGCCGTAGCCGTTTCCTGTAATATCACCCAGTCACATACACCACAAATGTCATAACACCATGTTTTAGTATGCAGAGTCGAAAACTTACAAAGTCTTCTACAATCTCTTTGATGCCTGCAATTGTTAAAATGATAATCAATGGCACCAGGGTGGTGTATCGTCCGGTCGGCGATACGTCTGGAATTTGCTGGAAGAGAACACAATAGAGAATGTGGTACATGGATGTCTCCACAAAGAAAAGGTTGTCTGAGGTTTCTGTCCTGCCTGGTTCCTGCAGTCATTAAGTCCCCAGAATTCTCCTTTTCTCATTGACCTGCCTCTACTTCCTGTCTGGTTGTCCCGCCTATACTTCCTGCCTGACTACTGGCCAATCAGTGTTCATTTAAAACATAATTGACAGAATATAGACAATTGTCCCACACCAGGAAAACATGGAGCTCAACCCTCCCTCTCACTAGTCTAGGCCATTTCTGTTATACGACAAAAGGCCTGCTAATTCAAAACTAATTATGTAGTTTACGTGTTTAGAAAATGGGTTAAAAGTATGACCTTCATGGTCAAAATACATGTATGGTACATATGTTTACAATATCACAATGGGATATAGTATCTAATATAATAAATGTGTATTAATAAAAAAAAGATAAAGTGAACATAAAAAGCATGACCCATGAGAACGGGTTCCCCCTCCTCTTGTAGTAACGACTCTTCTCAAGGCATTCTCTCCTGCGAAATCTCACTTTACATGTAATTGAATTTGCAAATTTTAAGCACTTAAAAAATTACCTGTAATAAGGCAATGAAGAGGAAGAAGGCATTAGCAGCTCTCCTAATCTGCTCATACAAGAATCGAGGTAGAAACGTCAACACGCTGTACTTGGCCGTACTGAAAGAACAAAGCAAAGACCACTAAACAAAGCGACCCCAAACAGCATGTCCTGGGTAGGAGGGCACAGCTGATCAGAGAAGCTTCCCAGATGATTTCAGTTCAAACTCTGATGCACACATTCAACTTTCCCATGTGGTGATCAGGCCATTTACCCCCATCTGGGAGCTACATGCTAAGAGTAACATGTATGAAAAAGCAGTTCAGTGAAGCCCTGTGCACATGACATACTGCGGATTCACCCATATCTGAAGAGCTTCCATTCCCCGTCCTTTGCTCAGACTTTGGATTCACCTGGCCACCCTCTCCCTTCACCCTGTAGCCTTCTAATGAGTGATCTTTCTCTCATCTCATCCCAGTTACATCATTAGCTTCCATTAAATTTGGTCAGATTCTACAGCGCCCTTCTGCCTTCAAACCCACAGTGGTTATTCTCAGATCATGTTGCCTCTGCTTTGATTCATACATCAGTCCTCTGCATTCATAGATTGGAAGGAAACTGTATCTCTACTGAACAATACAGGCTTTTCCATTCTAATTCTCTAATAGGCACACTATAATGATGATTGCCATGGCATTTGTATTGCAATGAGATACAATCTGATCGTCCTCTCGATGTAATGCAAAAGCATGGGAGGAAGTGTGTGGGTTCTATGCACAAGCAATTGCATTTATAGAAAGGACTAACAGCCATAGATTTTCATATCTCAGGGGGTCTGGAATGAATCCTGACTGGACACTGAGGGATGACACTATGTCTCTGTGCCCCAGAAGAGGTTACTGGAACAGGGAAAATGTGCACTTTACCTATGTTTGTTCCCCATCATAGGACACAGCAGTCAATGAACAAGGAAATAAACTGAACCAAAGATAAACAGAGAGCCAGAGTGACTTCAGGCCTGCTCTCTGAAAGCACGACCCTAAGCCTACTATTTCCTTTATTTGGTTATTTTTATGTATTGTTTATTTTTATGTGTTGGCTGTTGAAACAAGGTCTCATGTTGGCGAGGGTACTCTCAAATTCACTTTGTAGCTAAGGTGACCTTGAACTCCTGATTCTCCTGCCTCCACCTCTCAAGTGCTGGGACTGAAGGTTCTAAGCCTATTGTTGAGTATAGTCATGCAAGGTATAGCAGGTTCCAAATGCACATACCAGAAGAACCAAAGCAGAGGGGCCAAAACCCAAGAGACAGCATATACAGGATGATGTGGGCTGCGGTAGGCCCTGACAGCAACTGAGGCCAGAGCAACAGAGCAAAAGCCAGGCTGACAATTCAGAACTACAACACGTTCTTACTTTCAAGATTCCCAGAGGGAAGAAAAGAAAAAAAAAAAAAGAACTGGTAGTTGAAAGTAATTATCAGTTTAAAAAGCACAAAAGCTCACACCAGTAAGGTAAAACTATAGAAAGCACCTGATTATACATTAGAACCTAGAATTCCATCTGTGTGACAAATGCACACAGTGCACAGACATGCACACACCAGCACACACACACACACATACGCATCTAGCAAATAACTCTTTCGAGGTTGAACACCTTCCACTTCAGCAGAGTTCTGAGTATGCTTCAGGAGCCCACACCACGAAGGTGGAGAGCTGGGAAGGACAGGAGTGCTGCTCACACCAATAAAAACAGGAAATATTGCTGGATACAGGAAAAAAGAGCCAGAGGTTTTCTCCTGAGGCAGAATGAGCAAGGCCAGCAACCCATTCCTCTAGGAAAGAATCACTGTGTGACACTGGATATGATTATTTATAAAGTTATATAAATAAATAACTCAGTACACACTTGTCTCTCCAGTGTACAGAGATGATATTCTAGGTCCCTCTGAAGACACCAAATCCAGCTTTCACGGGAGGCCAGTGCTGTTGGTCCAGGGACAATGGCTGCAGGAGTGGGGTTTTAGAGAAGCTCCCAAGGAGGCAGGGTAGTTCACATTGTGAGATTTTACAACGTGAGGGGAACAGAGTGGCAGGGGCTTTAGCAGCCATGTGGCAGGAGAAAGACCATCTATAATGCTGACCGTGCACATGAAGAGCTGCTGGCTGCACTAGCTCCCCAGAACAAGAGAGGCTGGGACTGATAACTATGAGTTTCACAGCAGCTCAAAGCATGAGTTCCCCCTAAGAAGCCTCCAGAAACCTGCCTGTTGAACCGGCTTAGCAGGCATCTCCCAACCGTGAATAGTAAATCCACAAGAACCTTGAAGGCAGCCATACCACCTCTTCTCTTGTAGACATGCAGAACACACATCTATCTGCTCAATAGTAAAGGTGTCATTTAATAGCCACTGAGAGAGTAGAAGGCCAAGCTGAAGTCCGCACAAGATGCTGACTTGATGTACAGACTGGTGTTTTAGGGCCGTGTTCTGGGAGCCCCACATCCTCCCAGCTTTCTGGAAGACACCATCCCGTCTCCTCTTGAGGATGCTTGTTTTGCAGAGTGGAGGTGAAACCCAGTGGAACGCACTCTCCTAACATGCTCAAGGCCTGGGTTTGATCCCTAGGACAACCGAACCAAGCTGCTACCTAACCTGACAAGCATGAAAACGCGCTCCCATAAGCCTAGCACTAGGGAGGCCAAGGCCAAAGATCATGAGTTCATGGCCAAGTTAAGCTGCATAGTAAGTCAACAGGTCAAAAATTGCCAGGGAAGGAAGAGACAAATGGGGAAAGGAGAAAGGGAGGGGAGGGCAAGGAAAGGAGGAGGAGGGGAAGTCACTAAGGGGTTGTAGACTACCAAGATTTGAAGGGAAAAAAGAAGACAATATTAAATGTCCTAAGAACTTATGCATGTCTTTCTATGAGTTTATTTATTCTTAATTCATTTATTATTTATTCATTTTATGGTGATGAAGAGTAACAGGTTCTATTGAAGTGCTCAGTTCTAACTGAAGGACCCCTGTTAGTCTCCCACATACACACAGGTTTGGGCATAAAGCCAAAGTATGCGGTCTGAATTCTCATACCTATGCGTATTCTCATAGACAAAAGTTGCCCCCATCCTTTAAGAGAGAAGCCTCTCTGACAGTGAACAGCGATGAATGCAGACTCGTGGCTGCCCAAGATTCTGAGAATAAGTGAAAGCTGTGAGCTCATCCCTAAAGGAGTCGTTTTCACCACCCCCTCTAAGGCCCAGGGAGCACTGCAGAAGAGGAGGCAGGAAGCGCATAAGAGCTGGAAGATAGGAGTTAAGAGCCGTGGAAGGCTATTCTCTAGACCAGTGATTCTCAACCTGTGGGTTGCAATCCCCTTGCGGGTGGCATATCAGATATTTACATTATGATACATAGCAGTAGTAGAATTACAGTTATGAATTAGCAACAAAATAATTCTATGGTTGGGGGTCACCAACAACATAAGGAACTGTATTAAATGGTCTCATCATTAGGAAGGCTGAGAACCACTGCTCTAGACTCACACAACCATGGTAATCATTAGCTCACAATAACTATGCTCTCTCCCACTGGGTTCACATAGGGCTAGCCCTGGAAACAATCAGTCACAGAAGAAGGAGGGGCTCATAGTGCCCTAAGGTTTACCACCGAAGTGCCGGCTATTGATAGATTCTGGAAGGGAATCGTTGCCTTTAGTTGTGTCCAAATTGCCCTGGTTAAACTCAGCAGATCCCAAAATCAAACAGGTAGACATGAGCATGGAAGGTAATGTATGGAGAGGGGGCAGGGAGAGGACAGAGTTGCTGGAAATGACCATGAGCCAACAGAGTTGAAAGCCAGGACGTGGCATGTTGTGTGTACGCAACAGGGCCAGGGACATTGGTTCCAAAACTGGGCCCCAAGTTCAGTTAAACAGCTTTTCTACGCCCTCTTTTTCCCCCATAGAAGTCTAGGGTGACATACATTTTGATTGGATAACTAAGTTTGCTTAAAAGGATTTGTCGAAGTACCCTACAGAAGCAGAAACTTTTCCCCGAGCAGCAAATTTGCCATAAGCCATTTATAGGGCAGAGTGGAGGAAGGAGGGATTTAGTTACACATGAGTCAGGGTAAGATATTACAAGCGTGCTAGCCTGCTGCAAAAGTTTATAATTGTACTATAACACATGTTTCCTAAAGACACAAAGCTATAAAAAACATATTTGCAAAGAGAAAAAAACAATTAGACATTGGGCTTCTTGCTAGTAACACAGACAGCTAGAGAAACACGTCAGGTTTTTATAACCCAGCCAGACTGCACTGTATTCTACACATTTCACGCTCTTAGGAAGCTCCATACTGTACCAGGGGCATCAACAGAACTGGATAGCAATTACTGACTTACTGGATCATTGCACACTACCTATAAACTGAAGAATCCCAATACTTTTTTTTAAAAGAAAGAAAACATACATTTCAGCCAAAACCTGGGGATATAACCCAGGAAAGTCTTGCAGTAACCACTTTAGAACATCGCTCTACAGTGACCAATCTGTCTAGTGAGGAGCTTGCTGGTGTAGACAAACAGACCACTTGACAGGATTACTTCCAAAATGCAGAGAAGAGCCAGCGTGAAACAGTGCTAGAGGGCTCCCCTGGCGTGTCAAGGACCAGGTTCCATGCCTAGCACTGCAAAAATAAAATAAAATACAAATATAGAGAGGATGGATAGTATAAATATATAGAGATATTAATATGCAAAAATTGTTGAAGCTAAAAGGTGAGGATGGGAAAACGAGTTATACTAAAAAAGAAGGAACCACGACCCACCACTTCACCATTTAGCCCTAAGGTCGGTAAGTTGGATCTTCATTTGTTAAAGAATTCCACGAAGACAATTTCTAAACTTAATTTTTAAAAACTTACAGGGAAGGACAGTGTGGCTCAGAGGCAAAATACTTTCTCAGCACATGTAAGGCTTTGGGTCCCATCCTCAGCACAATGATCGTAATGCGCACACATTCAAATATGTGCACACACATGAAGGAAAACTACATGTCTGATTCTAATTTTGAAGTGCGATAGAAACCAACAAAAAAAAATCAAGACAGAGTCCAAAGT